TGCTTCAGCGCAATCAGTTCTTGACGGAGACTGATCTTTGAGCTAAGGTAGTGCGGCGTGCCGAACCCAAGCAAGAGTGTGAGCTTTTATAACGGCCCTCAACCAAGCTCAAGAGGGGAAACAGAGGATTTCAAGGGTTGTCACTTGCTACCTGTGGTCAGTGTCAATTCACGCAGGATCGCCGATTCGACCAAGATGATGAGGTGGTTGAGCGCCTAGTTCTGAAGTCAGTTTGAGACGAGAACCCCTGGACATGGCGATCTCGAGGGCCAATCATATCTGATTATGTAAATGCCACTCGTTCATCAGAAAAGGAGGAGCTGAAGAAAAGCCAAAGAGCTAAAAGCAATCAAGGTTCGGGAAGTGGGAGCCTCATCCCTCCATCACCCCTACCACCTCTTCAACCCTGGTCACTTTCTTCTCCCTCCTCCGAATCCTCCCAAGGACCCAAAGTCCTCATCCTGTCTCCTTTCTTCGAGCCCACGTCACCATTTCGAAACATCGACAGCCGTGAAACCTGGGGGGGCTCCAACCCAGACCGACTCTCTTCGGATGAGCCCCAGTCTACAGTGCTACACTAGTGCAAGCCACTGGGATTTCAAGGAATTCTCTTCAATCGAGGTTCAGTTGACGGCAACATCGGACAGGCACTGCCCCTTTTCACCGTCCTGAACATGCGATGGCTTGCCCATATAGTCTTTGCCAGATCTCGCTCCGCACGGCAGCTCGATACTCCGTGTCAATGTGGTTCCACGAGACCCGCATGACAAGACTTCCAACAGCGGCATGAGCCTATTTGGGGGTTGACTCCCGCGACCTCGGGGTCCATTGACAAACTCTACCGTCAACGTCCGGCTAGACAGGCTCGACGGGCTACTTCGGAAACGCGGAGGATAATTGTGAGAGAAACGAAAGCCAAAGTCCTCGATGGATCATGGCATACCTCGAGTCCTCGACCTAGCGATCCTTCGGTGCCTGTGCTGCACCAATCCGCCATCCAAGGCTTAGTAACAGTAACGAGTGAATATCTGACGATCATACTCCCATGATCCGACGTGATGATGTTCCGCAGAAGTTTCCGTACCAGATGATCAAGCCCCCAAACTAGGAAGAATACAGAGTATAGCTCTGGCCCCCAATAACGCATAGAGCCAAGGCAAGACACGGCGGCAAGCATGCACGCGGCCATCACCAGTTTGGCCACCATTCACATTGAGTCTACAATCTTAGTGTGACTTTGGGACAGAAGTCCGTTCAGCAACATTTCCCGCTGAGCTCAGCGGCGGATGGGCGAGGCCTGATTGAGACCGTTAGGTGCATCTAGCTCTTGGCCCAAAGACAGGGCGCCAGCCAGACGTGCCAACAACATGGCGAAGCAAAACGTTGCTCAACGATGCTACCCGCCACCTGAGCCCAAGATGCACCGATGATACTCGAGCACCATTATGATCACCTTCAGCACGTCTTCCACAAACGCCACGGACCTGTCATCTGTAGTTCAGACCATCGTTGAGGCTCCACCTGCACGGGCCCCTACAACGTTGTGCGGCACTTGGCACCGTCTCATCACCTCCCAAAACAGGGGCTGGCCGGGGTTCAGACTACCCCCCGAATAGCTTCATTGGCGTCTCTTTCTGTATCCTCTCCACCTGAACTTGCTTCTCAGGCTTGAACTTCACACCTCTGTTTTGTGGCGTTGCTAACTATCCAATTCTTTCATCTCCAGATCGCACGGCACTTGCCATCACCCCCCTTGTCTCGGTGACCATGTGGTTTCCCGCCTCTTGATACCAGCCAGGAGCGGTCTTCATTCCCGGCCGAGAATTCCTCACCCCATCCCCGTCTCAAAATACGGTTATTTCACTAGTGTGAGGCTGTATTGGTCTACTCCTACCGGTGCCATTGCACGCAACATGGATCTTGTTTGGGGCCAGTCCCGCCAAGTTGGCACTAGCTCGACGTACCCTGGCCAAGTCAACCTGCCTTTGGGACATCTGACAAGCTGCCTGGGGGTACATATCGATGACCTCCCTCCTGTCAACCCGTTTGGTGTTGCCGGATGATCTCGAGTCTTCTAGGGCTGACGTCTCGTGGGAGTTTGCTTACTTGCTTACCTTTCGTCTGTCTTTTTCTCTTCATATTGCATTGACGGCACTTTACCTTCTTTTTTTGCCCAGGTGGCTTTGCTATTCTAATCTGGTTCTGTAGTCCAGAGGCGGGTCCCTGGTGTTTTATTCTAATAATCATGTCTGAGCGATCGTGTCCCGTGTCTGGGTCCATGGGTGGTGGAAGATGTCCCGCAGGTGCACATGGGCAAACAGCGAATCGACGGGTTGGACCACGAGGTTGTTCCTTCTCAGGATATACTCAACAAGGCGATCTCCATGCAGCTTTTGATGTAAGTTGATGTCTCGACTATAACACTTACTCCAAGCTAATGCAATCAGATCCCACGAGGGGTAGACGTTGACGAGTGGCTGCGTGCCAGGTGAGGACCTTCTTCAATATTTCACCGACAGGCTACTTACAAAAGATAGGGAGCGAAAGGCTATCAACGAAATCGTGTACTCGGATATTCCATCGGCGGACCACATCGCCCAAGTCAAGAACGTTGACACACTCGTTGCGGATGACAGAGACCTTTTAGCCGTTGCATTGGGTGCGCCAGCTCGACAAGTCATCCTTCGAGCCGAGGGGGTAGGATCCCAAAGTGGATGGAAGGACGGATACCTCAGCGCCGAGTATGGTTTCAACGCACCCGACTCGAATGAAGCTGCCGGCGCTCTCGCCAACTGCCCTGGACGCGTCTGGTCCGATCTTTGCGAGAGGATGCCCGGTTGTGTCTCACGAGGACGCGTTAGAGAGTCTGTCGCTGCTCTTCCCCTCGTCGAAGGAACCGAGGAATTTGTTCCTGATCAAGCACTCTGGGCTGCGATCGTGGCTCTGGGCATGCTGTGCTCCATCTATCGATACGAAGACAAGAACGATGGGTACGACGGTGTCAGCATCAACTCGATCTCAACCAAGCCTCGCGTCGAAATGAGCGACGACCTCGGACCGGAATTGGTAGGAATCCCGAGGACTATCGGGCTGCCTTACTGGCAGGTCTCACGACGTATGGGACGAGCGATCCCCCACCTTACCTTCTTCGACCAAGCGTCCTACAATATCAAAGTTCGCGACCCGACTTCTGTCTACCCATATGTTGGCCGCTTCGACAATACTGATCTTCGGTGGCCCATGTTCGGAGAGCGCACCGAGATTGCTTTCTTGAAGGGCTGTGCCGACACATCGGGTAAGTTCTACTGCCACCACGATGAGACCCTAGACACTGACCTGATATGCTCGTAGCATCCTTCCAACACGGCCCTGACGCCATAGCCGCTTGCCAGGAGCACGTCATGAACCGAAACAACGAGGGCCTTTTGAGGGAGATGATCAGACTCAAGGAAATTCTCGAAAGAATGCCAAACGCCTTCCACTCCATCTCAACCAACCCCAACTCGGGCGATAACTACGTCTCGGCGGCCGAGTGGGTACGATGGGGCAAGTTTTCCGCGCCGCTGTCCAAGAGATGCCCAGCCGCTTCCGGTCTTCAATTCCCGCCGTATCTTCTCATGGACGCCTTCCTTGGCCGTAAGAAGTACGATTCCTTCCTCGGCAACGAGGGTTTGCACCTACGCGCATGGCTGCCTTCCAACTTGCGAGCTTTCATTGCCTCTGTCGAGTACCACTATCGGATTCCAGAGTACGTCAGGGAGTCTGGCGACCCACGGCTCATGGGCGTCTTTGACGGAATCATCGAGGCGTACACGGGCGAGCGAGGTTTCATGGGCACCCATAGGTACAAGGTGTTTGGTATCCTAGAAGTGGCCTCCAAGACTGGCCGAACGGAAACGAACGGTGCCTCTGGCGCCTCTGATGATTCAGGAAGGCCATGGGAGGAGGTGCACCGCCAGTTCTCGGACGCCATGAAGGAACGATTAGAGCCCTACCGCGGAAACATTCCCGTCGAACCCCATGAGATGCGCGGAACTTTTGAGGAGTGTCGGTACAAGTCACGTATCCTCTCTCGATCTTTTGTCGACTCAGACCATGATCGGTCAATCTCTATGGTCACACTTGATTTACACAACACCGGTATCACTTTTCAGCCGGGCGATAGACTCGCGATCATGCCCCTCAACAGCTGGGAGGAATGCGCCAAGGTAGCTGCGGCGCTCGGGCTGGACACGATGCTTGAAAGCCCTGTTCTTCTCGACCGCAAGTGGTCTCGATTCGCGGAACACTTGGAGACAGTCTCTAATCACGGCGTTGCGAGTACCTCCACAAAGACAAGGAGACTCATGGTCAAGGATATCCTCCGCCGAGGTCATTTGGCACCGCTGACCCAGGATCTCGTCCTCAAAATCCATGCCATGCTGAGAGCCTCGTCAAACACGGTGCTCCAGGTGCTTGCGACTGAGGAATGGCCTGTCCGCGGATCACTAGGTGACCTTCTCCAAGCCGCTGTCATGGATACGCCGACGCACATCTGGGACCAAGCATTTGACCTCTCCAGCGACGTGGCGTGGCTCAGCGACCTCATCTCGGTCGAGATTCCGCGTACATACTCCATCTCCAACTACCCCGAGGAGCTACTCCCAAGCACCGTCGACCTCACAATCTCACGGGCCGAGTACAAGCTTTGCGCCACGTTTGCCGGAAAGTCTGACATCTCCCGATCAGGAGTGAGCAGTGGCTACCTCAACCCGCCCGTAGGCTCACCAGACGACTTCATTGCCGACGAAGACGAATTGCTTGTCGGTATCTCCAGGCCCATCGCCTTCCAATTACCTCTCGATGGCGCCGCGCCTTGCGCATTTTTTGCCGGCGGCAGTGGCATTGCCCCTTTTAGGAGCTTCTGGCAGGCTCGTGCTGGCCGCTCGGTCGGAAAGAATATGCTTTTCCTGGGTGTTCAGAACAGGGAAAAGTTCTGCTACGAGGATGAGCTCCGTCAATATGTCAACGCGGGGCTGATGGAGGTTCATCTCGCGTTTTCTCGTGATAGCCGCGGTCTTGCGTATGACCCCATCATGAGGGACCTCATTGAGCGCCGAACTGAGCCACGATACATCGATTCGCTCATCGCCGAGCAAGGGGCTAGCGTGTGTGACTTGGTCATGTCCAAGAAGCAAGGTGGCTTGGGAGGTTATCTGTACATCTGCGGCTCCGTTGATGTCTTCGACTCTGTCATGAATGGGCTGCGCAAGGCCATTTATAACCATCGGACGGCGACCATGGAGTCTACGGATCTCATCATCAACACTGCCTTTGCCGAGCGGCGGATTATGTTGGACGTTTTCATGACCCCGAAACCGCTCCCCTGTAACCGACCAACCATCCCACTCTCACAGCTGTCCGTTCATACGGGACATAGGCCTGGAGGAAGGATGTGGATTGCCGTCCACGGCAGCGTTTATGACGTGACGGACTTTTCCCCTATGCATCCAGGAGGCACTCTGATTATGAGGTCGAATGCAGGCGTGGACTGCACAAAATCCTTTGACAATCTGGCACACACGAACAATCCGGAGGTCGCCAGCCTGCTCACAAAGTACTTTATTGGCCATCTGACCCCCAAGCCCGAGTACCACGACTGCGAGGAGATCAGTGGTCTGTACGATATGTGGTCGGCGTACCTACGAACAACAGTCGAGACACTCGTCTCACAGCAATTCGAAATGGACGACATCCTCGGCTCGTCGAAGCTCTGGTTCCAGGGCAGCCTCATCAACATGCTCGGTGTACGCATCTTCTACCAATACCAATCCCGCCTCCTCCAAGGAGGCTTCTCTGCCCTCTTTGGACCCAAGTTCCAGGAGCTCGTTCTCAAACTCTCCTTCATGATGGCCAACGCCGCTTCCGTCGGGTCCGATGCCAAACTCCCCGATATCCTCGGCATCATCGCCAGAGCAAAGACGTCCAACGACGCCGTCACAACCTCCAAGGAGGTCTCGCGCATCGGCCAGTTCATTTGCGACAGCGAACCCGCCCGCCTCATGGAGCGCGGCATCATGGACTACGCCAACAAGTCGGTCCAGCTCGACATTGAGCTCCTCGAGGACATACGCGAGGAAGCCTGCCACGGCATGGATGCTTTCGACACGGTCATGAACCTAGAGTCCTCATCCCAGTCCCAGCGCGTCATCGTCCTCTGCCAGTTTCTCATGCAGACTCTCGAGCGCATGGCCAAGCGCCTCGAGGTCTTCTACTCTAAGCTGGCGCAGTGCTCCATCTACCACCCCGAACTCGAGCGGAACCCAGCCCGCACCCGCTGGGACCTCGTCAAGCGCCGCGTCCGCGACGGGTCCTTCTTCATCCTCACCCAGAGCACCGTCATCGGCGGCGTGCCGTCCTACAAGTCCTCCGCGGCCGCGGGCGAGACCGTGGTATTTGACAATGTCCTCTCGCAGATCCAGCAAACAATCCGCAACGCGCCTCATATTCCCAGCCCGTCGATGCAGCAGCAGCAACAGCAGATAATGCACCTCAACGAACGTCACCGCGTGCGTACCGAAGCACCTCTCAATGGCGCCACGGCATTCGAATCCCACCAGAACAGCAACGCCCTGAACCGCATGTCCACCTTCATCGACAAGAACATGCGCGCCATCCGCCGCCTGAGCAAGATGCCCCCGATACCACTCAACATGACCTTTGAGCAAATGGTCGCCGCCAACCAGCCACAGTTCCACGCCAACGGGGTCACGACTCCTCCTTCGAGCCGCGGTTCAAGCCGCTCGCCCACCCGAGGCCGTCTCACGTCCGTAAACGCGCTTCACATCCAAGGCTTCGCGCGCTCGCGCACACCGTCGGTGGCAGAAGAGTCCATGAACCGCATTACACTCAACCGCCGCGGCACAGCCAGCTCAGACGGCTCGCGGTCTGGCACGTCTCTTTCGCATCACCAGTACAGCCACCTCGGGCAGAACGGTGCGATGCCGACGATGATGATGATGGGGCATCACGGGCACGGCGGAGGGGGCGGCGGCGGCGGCATGCCTCACCACTTCCCGCCTACGCCGATCGCGACACCGCCGCTTGATTCCAGCACAGCGATCCAGTCCATGGTTAGCCGGCTTAATTTGAAGTCGAGGAGTGTTGCGGGGTCGTTGCCTGCGTCGCCGGCCTTGTCGCTGGACGAGAAGGGCCGAGTGGCGCGGATGTCTGCGCAGACGGCTGCTTCGGCGCATCACCCGCGAAACCGGTCGACGAGTACGCTGAGGTCTTTTAAGTTGAGGGAGTTGGTGGCTAATCAGGAGCAGACGAGGGTTGCGCCGACGTTTTAGTCTTTGGGGGGATGGTCTGGTGTGAGGTGAAGTCGTAGGGGGTTTCTCTCTTAGTTAGTAGCGCAGGCATGATGTGTAGCATTTTATCAAATTGCTTAATTGTAACCTACATGGTGACCGAAAGTGTTGATGATGACTGTTTGACTGGCCAATTGAGCAACCCGGACACACAAAACATATCTTGCTGTTTGGCTGTTGCCAATCGCTCAAGGATATTGTGCCGTCTGGGTGACTGAAGTTATTTATCTCAATGTCGAAACATGCGAAGAAAAGAACTTCTAGTTTCTTGGGGACACATGAAGTAATAGAAGTATTTATTATTACTATTACTCTCTACTATAGTTATAGTAAGATATGTTATAACTGTCCCTTCATCGACTATTGATTAACCGTGCTCATGATGATTAGTATGGAGTAGGTCTGATACTCATGGCGATCGTAAATTACATACTATATGGATGGAAGTTTCAAGTTTGTCCAGTACTATGACGGATTTCATTAATAGGGCTATTGAACAGGACTTATCACTTGGATAACGATTACTTGAAGTGCTTTTACTGGATGAGACGTCTAAGATATAATGACAAGCACAAAGCTTTTGTGTTATGTAGATAGCTGGCTACCGCTACATTATATGAATGTCAAGCTACCCAGACTTATAAGAGGAAGCCTTTGTAGCGCCACGACTGCCAACAGAACGTTGACGTGAGACTAAAGCGGCTTGGCGACTGCTGGCATGGCCCCCAAGCTCTTCGACGAGTCTCTGCATTGGAGCCATGCCTTCTCCAGTGGGGGTGACCTTATGTGCGAAACTGTCATCTAAGTCTACTCCAAGTCGATACAGCTCTCGAAGAATAACTGCATGCCCCTCCTGGGCCCTCTTGAGATTATTTGCATCTTTCTTCTCTTTCTCGTTGTGTTGGCGAAGGGCATCCTCAGTCAGTTGAGGCTGCTTGTCAGACTTCGATCGATATGTTAGGGACTTGGTAAGATGCTGGTCGGAGCAGCCGGAAGACTTGTCTCGGGAAGTATCCATGGAAGTCCTAAGAGAGAAGAGAGCGTACGTTAGCTTAACTTGGAAAACAAAATCTTCTGAGTAACCAGGAGATGTCGAGCTGAGTGAGGTTCAACCTATGACGGTCAAGATGATATGTTACTTGCTAAACGCACCCTTTAGCAGTTGGCTTGACTGGATCCGCAAATGGCAAAGACGGTATGCTTGGATCCTAAACGGCGCAGATGAAACCTGCACTCTGAATCGCAAAGTGAAGGAACAAAGAGAGATGATCATCCAAGACAGGAGTTGAGAGAGTGCTGAGGGGTGGAAGCAGCCTCCATCTTTTCTGGGAGGATCAATGCATTTAATACTTGTATCGAAGCGTGGAAGGTAAGAGTCAATGTATGAGTTGCTACTAGAAAGTAATAGTGAGCGTGCGACATCTAAACGCTACAAAGCCTGGCTGTGTGATCATATTCTCGATGGGATGACCTGCAAAAATCACCTTCAGCAGTAGATGAAACTGACGACATGGCGACATTCGAGGCAGCCCAGCATTGACTGCAATGGTTCATTTTGAAGCTTTGTGAAGAAAAAAGTGTGTAAAGGGCAGATCTACTACACAAATGACATTGGACCCGGTAGCCACAATGAACGTGATGATACAGGGAGAAAAATGCAGTTTGCATGTGGCGTTTAAGCAGACCTGCAAAATGTAGTCATGTATACAGTATTGGTGAGTGAGCACAGCTTCCAGCTGCAAGAGAAGAGAAGTGACAAGCGCAGTCCTTTTGCAGTCTTAAAGTTGCAGATCTGCAACATATCTGCAAAATGTAGATTTGGGTGCAGTTCGAAAGCAGCTACGATTCCCCGATAAAGTCAGGTCGCAAGACGGGGAAAATTGTATATTGCATTTTACAGCGCCCTAAAAAGGAGGCTTAATAGACCGCATACAACCTGGCATTCTCAGTTGGTTGCCTTACGGCAGGCGCTTGGCGTGTTCGCATAGCAGTCTCCCTAGGCCTTCTCTGCTCTCTCCACTGCCTAATATTCCACCTGATGATCTGTCTGGATATCAGGTCTCATCTCTTCATTTTCGTGGTCCCCATCCTCTTAATAGCGCTTTTGGGAGCACCATAATCCCGCGGCCCAGGCCGTATCCTATCATTTATCTCACTGTATATATCCATCACAAGCCCTCACGTGGCCCACTGCGGCAGAATTCTTTCCCGATTGAGGAACATCTTTTTGACTGACCTAGGGCGTCAATCAACCACACATTTGCACAGAATGACGAAAGATTGGGATCCTCTTCGCGATGAAATCAAGCAACTTTATCAGGTAGAAGATCGAAAGCTCATCGAGGTGATGCGCATCATCCAAGGCCGGCATGGCTTCAAAGCTTCGTGAGTCGCAGGCACTTACCGTAGTGAATTTTCGTCAACTCTGACCTCTCGGTACATGTACAGTGAAAGGTCGTACCGCACGCAAATGCGGAAATGGGGCTATATGAAGTACAGCACCGAAGATTTTCCAAAACCGAATCGAAACTCGCATCCTTCAAGAAAGCGTCTGGGGTCAGCTTCGGCTGTCAAAGGGGTGAGAGCTGCTTCTGCTTTGCCTCTCGCTGCCGATTCATTCAACCCAAGGTAGTTCTTTGCTTGCTACACGTCGTCCGCCGAGCCTAAATACTTAACTGTCACTTAGGCGTCCATCTGCTGGGATGGCTCCAGGGCTCTTGCCGGGACCAGACGGCGCAAGCCCGTCATATATGAATGGCGCTCATTCCTTGAACTTGGACAACCATGTGTCTCGATCTTTTCAAAACACCGCTGGAACAGACACAGAATGGCCCACCTATACTGTTTTTCATCAGAGCACTAGTAATCGAAGAACGGACCTTCACCTTGCAGTGTTAGGACAGGATGAGCAACAAGTACAGCGATTGCTATTCGATGGATTTTGTGTCAAGGATGAAGACAACGTCAGCAACCAGCCTCTGCACTACGCGATGAACGGAACATCAGAGAATATTGTCAGCCTTCTGATAAAGTATGGCGCAGATGTCAACGCAAAGGGCCAGCTAGGACGCTCTCCGCTTCATCTCGCTGTCTCTAAAGTGCATTTCACTCGTCATCTTCTGACTGCTGGCGCAGACGCTAACCTCCAAGACAAAAATGGGGATACCCCTGTCCATCTTGCTGTACTAGACTTTGTGCAAAAAAAGGGAGGCTTCAGTACGCAACGGTCCTTGTCTGCACTCTACGCCATGATAGACGCGAAATGCGACCTCAACTCGAGCAACTTAGCAGGGATGACCCCCTTCCATGGCTTACTCACTAAAGATCCACCTCACAGTGGGGAAGGCGTCTCAGAAAGTCAGCTTCACTGTCTTTACAACGGAGCCAGTCCAACTCAACCTTATCCTGATGCGAGAACTCCTCTGCAGGTGCTTCTTTCATATGATCTCCAGACTAGCCCGGTTACGAAATGGGGACGAGCAAAATGCGACGTCATCAGGTTCTTAATCGAGAAAGGAGCTGATCCACAAACCAAGTTTCCCTCCGGAAAGACCTTAGTGTCGGAATACTTTGAACGTACTAGATGGGAAACATATGGTTACAAACCTGATCATGGACTAGGCAAGGCACTGTGCAAACATGCTGACCTCATGCCATTGTCGGGCTCCGATGGGAGGCTAAGGGAATCGCTACTGCATACACTGGCAAAATTCAGTGTCAGTGGCCCCTTGTCTGGGACCTTCGACATCGTTGCCCTCTTCAAGGCTGTTTTGCAAAGAGGGGCAGATCCAAACCTACCAGACAAGGAGGGAAAGACGCCTTTGCTCCTATTATTCCCAACCAAGGGCAACGTGTCAGAGACTGTTTTGAGGGCCAGAGAACTCATGATGAAACAAGGAGGAAATCCTTTCATAGCAGACTCTTCTGGCAAGAGCCCTGTACGCGCAGCTTCAGAAGTTCGACAAACCCGACTAAGTGTTGACTACGTATATCATCTTTTGAAGTCCACACTCGACTCAAATGAGATCTCATCCGCTCCCAGGGAACGGGAATCGTCTGCAAGGGAGTGTCGGTGGAACGACTGGGATTCGGCAGCGAGCGCAAATGACTGGGACCAAGCCATGAAAATCATTAGAGACTCCCAGCCTACTAGTATATGCCGCGATTCGGGGATGGGCAACTTGAGGAAAGGGGCATACACGGCTCTTGCAGAGCGGCACCTAAAAGCACTGGACACAACACTTCAGAGTCCTGAGGAGACTCTGCAACGGAGGAAGCGCATCGCCCAAATCCTCCATGATTGTCAGTCATTAGACGTAAAGACGGACATGCGGTATTATCACGAGCTAGTACGGCTTTCTCTCTAACGCAATGTTCTATGAATTTGAGATTTATTTTGAGTAAACAACTTGACGCTATTGAGTTTTGGACTAACTCCATAGACATAATCTTTGTTCTTTTGAAAGGCCTTCCGGAATTTGATCAAGCAGCTTGCGCGGTATGCATGCTCGTATTATAAAGAGCCCGTCTACTTTGACTATACGGTTTGGCTATTTTGACTACCTTATGTGCCACTATCTTATCGCAACACCTTTCTCGCAAAACAGTTTGATTATTGGAACAACGAAGGTGCGTCAATCACCCTTGACCGAAACTTGGTAACAACAATCAAGCCATAAGTCATGTCTGATAGCAGAATGAAGATGCAGAAGAAGGTCTCGACCGGCCCAAAGATCGTCCAGAGTGTGGCGAGTGTAAGCGTGGCTGACGCACTGGAGTGTGGCTGAGTCCTGCACTCCATACCGCCACGTGCTCAATTAGGTAATAAAGGTACTCGAGTACTTAATACTGGCTGCACATCAATGATCGCTCAAAACTTGGCTCCAATCATCTCCAATCGACTTACCAAGGAACGAAGGGACCCGGGCGAGTATGACATCGCCACCTCGAAAGCTCCTTCGTCCGCCAGTGTCTTTCTCTCAGTTCCGTCTGCCAGCACACTGGGGCCCAGAGCCAGTCCCACAGACAGGCCAAAGGACAGAACATGAACATCAGACCAAAGAACCATGATATCACCCACCAGCTTGGCACGCACCCGTCTCGTCTCGCATTTCTACGCAGACCACCACGCTGGCAGGGCTGCAGCATCGCCCTCTTCTCTCCCCGTCGTGCCCGTCTCAGCATGATTGTCAGACAAGGGCCACCCCCGGCCGACGGCGTCCATACCCCCCCGACTGCCCGGTCCTCTCTGTGCTCTCTGCTCTTGTACAGAGCCACTTTCAATCACTCCCTCTGTTTCCATCTCGTGCCATCGTCCTGCTAGTCTGTCAGAAAGAAGGCTGGAGTTCTTCGGTCTCGCCATTCGTAACAATTGCAACGGGATATGTCAGTCTTGCCCTAGTACGGCGTGTTCCTTTGAGTGGATTCGTGTAAGTCTCGGGTGTCACTTTACAGTGTACCTCCGCGTCCATCTGAACATCCAAACAGGGCTGCGTGGTGCCTGCGTCTAGTCCAGCTTCGCTCGCATGCACAACAAGCACATGCACATGCACATGCGCGGCAGCGGGCAACTTGGACCAGCACTTGCGCTTTTCGCCTCCTTCCCCTCTACTCTTCCCATCTGATCTTTTCGTGGGAACGGGGGGTACGAGCGAAGGAAGCAAGCAATGGCGGTGCCGCCCCGGGTACGCCGGTACGAGTGTACCTACCTTACATACACACAGGCAACAGCTCTCTCGCTTTTGGTGGCCCGAAAACAAGGTTATAACGGCACCTCCCCTACCTTTTTACTTTTCTATTCGTGTCATTGGGCGGAGTGCGGATGGAGGAGGTGAGGTAGGCTGTGCCACCCATCACAGACTTTGGATATAAGTCACCACCAGTCTGGCTACTCCTTCGTCGTCGTCACCCGATTCTTATTCAACTGCTTCTCGTTTCTTCAACTTGGCGTTCCTCATCACATCTCTCTCTCTCCAACCTCCACTACATCTCCACCTCTCTTCTTCACTACGATACAAGTTGAGAACCAAGCAGAAATGGACAAACCAACCCAACACCCCGCCACCTCGGCCCCGACCAATGTCCCGACACCGGACCCGAACCCATCAGACAACTACATGGCCTCCGGCCCGCCTCCAGAATACCAACAACACCAACACCAACACATCAACCAGCAACCCACCGGCACCTCGATGCCAAAATACGGTGGCCCTTCTCCCAGTAGCCCGCCACCCCAAAACTACGGAGGTTACGCCCCTCCGCAAAGCTACCCCCTCCAAGGCGGACCCCAAAACTTCCAGCCCTACGGCACCCCGCTGCCCTCCCTGGGCCCCCACCCGGCGCCGGTCGAGTGTCCTGAGTGTCACGCCCGCGGCGTCACGGCGGTGGAGTATACGTCGGGCGGTTTCACGCACTCGTTGGCTGCGATCGTGTGCTTTGTGAGCTGTTTGGGGTGCATACCTTATCTCTTTTCTTCGTTGAAGGATGCGAGGCACAAATGTTCCAAGGTACGTTCTTTCTTCTACTAGTTATTGTCCAAGTGATTTTGAAATTTGTCGACTAACAAAGTACAGTGTGGCATTCCTTTGGCTACATACCACCGCAGCGGTAGGACCGAAGTCCATTGGCACCAGGCTTATAATGCCTAGGTGCCTGGGCAAAGCCGTATGAGCAGGGTATTATTGGATTAGGTGGATTCAGGGCAGCTGTGGGCAGTCAGCCGCGCTAGCTTGCGAGAAGGTGACTGAGGCTCTGGTGGACGAACTGGAGCAGTACTGTTGGGTCGAGACATTTTGATTATGCGAGGCGTATAGGATACCCATTCTACCTTTCTTTCTTTTCTTTCTTTAGAACATGAATACGTGCCTGGAGTGGCTGAATTATTCCTTATCCGAAGCTTTCCATGTACTATCCTTACAAAACCCGCCATGCAAACATGCTCATTCCCTAGGTATCATGCCCGAGGAGAATGACTTTGGCAGGGGCACCGTTGATAGAGATTTGATTCTACGCAGTGTGTCTACGCAGTGGATGGCGTAGCATCACATCAAACTACAGTCGGAAAGTCCTCACGCAATGCAGTGAGTAACAAATTTGAAAGCCCAGCGAGGACATGTTGCGGGTATCTATTCGATCATGTACAAGCTCCCCTAAAATCTATATCATTAGCGAAGGCATCACGCAATCGTCAGATTGTACGCCGTACTTTTGACCCCTTTTGACGCCTGCCTGCCTCCGGTTTGCCCATGCTTCTCGTGTGAATCGTTACGCCATGATCCTGTATTTGCCTCCGTCGCGGTCCACTAGGCGACTCGGCATCCTATGCGTTTCGCCCCGCGACGCGAGTCGGCCCCGGCAATCGTCGTGACGTTGTCTGGTAGTGTCGTCTGCCATATGTCGTCTGCCATATATCATCTGTCGTCGAATGTCCTCATTGTGAGGACGCTGCTTAGTTGGCGAAGATGCGCACGTTCATGTCGACACTTCCTGTTGCGATGACGCAGCGTATTGAGACGTCCTGGGGCTTCGCTGCCGTTTTGCTCGGTGTTCCATTGGCGCCATTGGCACCGTCGCCATTGGTAGCCGCCTCTCGTGCAATGCCTGGAGCCCAACGCAGACAGGAAACAAAATGGTTATGAAGTTCGTTCAGAACTTTGACACACTTGCCCTCTTGCGCCAGATCCCAGCACCGCATAGTCCTGTCGTCGGATACACTGAGCAAGTACTTGCCGCCGGGGTGGAAGACCAGCGCGCGGACCCAGTTATCGTGTCCCGTAAGAGTCTTGATGCAGTTTCCACGCGCGTCCCATAACCTGATTACCTTGTCACGGCTGCCAGTTGCCATAAACTCAGCTGTGTTCGTTGCGGGGGGGGCCTTCTTTAGGCCTGCCAATGATGCCAAATGACTGTAAGCCGTTGGCGGTGCGAGCGTGCAGCATTCCACATTGTGCTCGTGACCGATCAACGTTGACTTGATTTCGGGATTTGAGCCGCTGATATCCCAGAGACGGCCAGTCTGATCGTCTCCTGCTGACAAGAGGTAGCGTCCATCCGGAGATGGGCAGACGTCTCGTACCCAGTCCGCATGCCCTCGCAGTGTCTTGACGCAGTAGCCCGTCGACACATCCCAGATCCGCAATGTCTTATCGCGGCTCGCCGACACAAGCAGATTTCCTGTGGCACCTGCGGCTCCCGAAGGAATGAATCGGACCGCACTGACGCTGTGGTCATGACCGGGCAACGTCCGAATGTTCTTGTACTCGTCTGAGGGGTCCCATAGCTTGATCGTCAAATCGCTCGAGCATGACGCGAGCAGGGTAGCGCCTCGGGGGCCTCCAAAGTCGACGTCCAAAACTGCCCTTGTATGCCCCTTGATCGTCCTCTCGAGTTCGCCCAGCTCCCAGTCCCAGATCTTAATTGTGTAGTCTTCTGAACCTGAGGCGAGCGACGAGAACACGGGGTGAAATGCTACACAGGTAACCGGATCGCGGTGGGATTGTAGGGTGTGTCGGGCGGGGAGGCGTGGCAGCCAGCTGGTAGGGTCTTGATTTCGTCTGGATAGTGAGGTTGGTGTCGCATTATCGAGTTCTGATTGAAGAGATGCACTTCGAGACTCGAGTTCCATGATCTAGCGAGAATAGTATCGGTCAGAGGCGCTGGAAGCCAGACATCTGACGCCAGGGGACGAGACGAACCTTTTTCTGCAACCGTACTACACTGGTCCATTTCTTCTCTAGCAATCCCTCGTATTTCTTCGAGGTGGCAGCATCGAAAGAGTCGCCAATCTGCAATTCTTCCCTGAGGGCATTTGCGGCATTGGGGAGGTTGCTCGATGAGAGGTACGCGATAATGGCCTTGTGCCTGTCACGATCGGGTCAGTATGGCGCATCCGTGGTCACCCTTTGGGCGGAGAGAAGGAAACCTACAGCTCCTCTGCTTGCCGAGGGGTGAGGATTTGGCTCATCCTGGCAGACGGTGGAAGCTACGTAAGTAGCGGTTTGTTTGTAGGCAGTTATAAAGTTGAGAAGCCCTGGTGGCACGAAAGGGCGCACAAGAGCAGATGGAAACGAGAGAGGTGTCGTTGGGTGGTTTGTTATCGAGGTGCGTCTGCAAGGTGATGCTCGGGGCTCCGTCTGTTGGTGGTGGTGGTATCGCAGCAACCGCGATGGGCGCGCCACGTGCGGTCGGAGGTGGCAGAAGCTGGCTGGAGGGAAAGACGAGGCTGATGAAAGTTGGAGGCGGTCGGAGAGGCCAAGGATTGGTAGCCTTGTTAACCGGATATTTTATTGCAGCGACGGGAAGATGCAGAGGTCAAGTCAGGGTCGAATTGGCGGGGACCAGGGCCAAGTGGCAGATACTCGCGGAGTTGTAAAGGCGGTGTCGGTGTTGTTGATGTCAAAGCTCTCGATATTCTTTGGTTGTGCTAGGGTGGCTCCTCTCTTTCTTTCCTTCGTGGGTGTTTTCAGTCAGGGGTTGGGCTCCCAGGCGTTGGGCAGCATATCTATGTGTGTTATAACCGTAGATTGCAGGATTGAATCGAGGCTCTGGAGGAGTAGTTGGATTTGTCCAAAAGCATGCACTTTTTTTTTTCTGTAGGGGAGACAAGATGTCCAAGAATGCGAGACGAGGGGTGCAAGTGCAGGGCTCGGGCAAAAGGTGACGCTTGAAGGTGGGCAGGAGCCGGAAAGGCAAAATGTTTCATATGCTCCGGGCTGTGTTGGCTGCGTAGGGAACACCCTGAAGAATTGGTGGGAGATGCGGCGGTGCGTAGGGTGCGAAGAGGGAGGGTGCTGTGCCTAAGCCACGGCACTGGCGGGGGATCCTCCGATATGCGAGTCCCAGATATTCCCGTTTGTATTCGTAGCGGACCCTGGGGAAACTTCTTCGACCGCGATGAGTGCTCAATGCTCGGTGGCACTGGTAGAGGGAAAAGATGGGAGAAAAGAGGTCAACCCTGTTTGGTGGGGTGGGATGAAATGTGGCTGGTGTAATGCATCAAGGATGAGTTTCCCAGTCATGTGTCGCTTAGGTAAGGCCGCTTGGACGGAGGTGGTGTGGCTGGTGCAGACCGGGCTGAGAGCCACCTCTGCCAGCTGGCAAACGATGGAGGGATGAAGAAGGGTGTCCTGTCCTTCTTTCCCCCAATGACATCAGAGTCTTGAACCGTTTCTATGGCAATACACGGGGCATTGATTGGTTGGAGATTCTTCAGCATCAACATGTGGTGCAGCCACTTTTGCAGTCGCACAAGCATGACAAGTTAGGTGACCAGTTGATTCTGGCATTTCTGAAGAAGAGACAGTTGAAGCATCATCCGTCAAAAGTCTGACTATCTGCCTGGGGTTCACTTAGCCTCAGGATGGAAAGGCCTGGTTCATGCCATAATCTGCCATCCTTGAATGAGTGAATATGTGAGAGTGGCTTACAACGGCCATTAATGCACAAAGTGGGCAAGTGCATTTGCAGCCAGGAAGACGAGAAGAAAAAAGAAAGCAATTTGATTAAATGGTAGGCCCCTGGGCTTCATGACTAAGGCCCATAGGGACAAGGTAGGCCCAAGGTGAAGACAGGTGAATACTGCCCACCATAGGTGAACAGCGAATGCCCCGCGTTCTGTGTTATCTGATCTCATCGATTGGTAGAAGATCCCATATCATCATGTGACCTATGTTGACCCGGGATACCAGCGACCCAATCATATTCATGCCCAACTGCCCGATGCGCGCCTAGCTGCTGTGTCCCTCCACCCACACAAACACGTCAGGCCAGGAACAGGGAGAAAAGGCACCCAATGCGATCGCCCACCGACCCTGAGCCTTGAGTTGAACCCCCATCCAAGCACTGCTCAAGACTGAACCGCCTGCTGGGCCCGTTCCCTCCGCCCTTGTCCCGACAACCAAAATTCCCTGTGCTCCTCCGCCCAGGACAAACAAAAGAAACCCCAGCCGTACTTCGTACACATTCCACACTTCCAACCCTCAGACTGACGACGTTGGCTTTGTACCTTCACCTGTAACATCCACGCTACGGGAACTACCTCTAGTCTCCTTTGTCTCTCCAGACTCCAAGTCTTGATTTGACTTCCTTCAGTCCCGGTCCCTTGTTTCCACGAGAACCACCACCGCACATACCTCAGATCTCTCTCCCTCTCTCTTTCTCACTACTCCTACCCTCCTAGGAAGCCTCTTTGCAATCTTGAATACCTCGAAGGATACCTCGACTGCTCGCACCTAGCTCTCCCGCTGCCAGGTACCAATCCCACATTGGCTTGACGACCAACAAGTCTTTGGCTGCTGCGACAACCTCACCTGATCCGCTCCAGCTCGACCATCATTTTGTAAGTCATGCCAGTCTTCTTGCGCCCATATCACCACAGACATCGCCATTCACGGCGCCTGCAGCTGCCGGCAGCCTGCATACCGTTGCGTCCTGCTGCAGCTCGTCCTCCTTCCTCAACATGGACCGTCATCTCAAACACACTCGTTCCCTCTCGAGGCTAATTAAACGTGTAGCTAGCTTCAGAAAGCCAGACATCCACGACAAGGAGAACTGCTCTCCCGATCCAGCTCCTCTTCCTCCTCTTCCTCCTCTTACAACAACCCCTCCACCATCCAAACCGGGTCTTTCTACACCCCGCCAGCCAGCCTCCATTCCGATGGCTGAAGAAGAAGACTTTAGCTCCCTTCCCCTCCAGGATAGGTTCATCCACAAGGTATGAAGTTAAGCATCCATCCGCTGCGCCGTGTATGATGCGCTGACGCGCCGCAGGTTTGGAAAGTAAGAAAGCAGGCCTACGAAGACGCCGCAAAGGCCTTCTCTGCTACTGCCGACGAGTACGACAATGCCTTCAGACCCTTCCTCTCCGACTCTGGCCTTTGGAAAGGTGCCGTCGCCGACTCCAACGTTGCCGCCCAGCAAGACGGTCTGGCGGCCTACTGCGCCTTTCTCAAGTTTGGCGGAAAGGAACACTGCACAAGAACGCGCGGAACTACGATAGGACCGATTTGCGAAAAAGGTCTGCCGTCAACACGTGCCGCCGCCAAGGAGTCATCTCTCGAAGCCCTTCTCCTGCTCGTCGAGCTCGACGTTGCCGCCCCAGTCATCGAGGAGATCATTCCGGCTCTTTCCAACAAGCAGCCCAAGGTTGTCGCCGCGGCTATTACCGCCCTGACCGCAATCTACCACAACTTCGGATGCAAGACTGTCGACCCCAAGCCTGTGTTGAAGGTCCTTCCCAAGGCGTTTGGACATGCCGACAAGAATGTCCGTGCTGCCGCGACGAACCTTGCAGTCGAGTTCTACCGATGGCTACGCGAAGCAATGAAGCCCATGTTCTGGGGCGACCTGAAATCCACCCAGCAGACCGATCTTGAGGCGCAGTTTGAAAAGATTAAGGCCGAGCCAGCCCCGAAGCAGGAACGATTCTTGCGCTCACAACAAGCCGCTATGGCGCGAGCACCTCCACCCGGAGCCGACGACGAGTACGATGACGGTGGAGACTACGCCGAGGAACCCGCCGAGATGGACGCTTTCGACCTGGCGGAGCCCCAGGACGTCTTTGGCAAGATTCCCGCCAACTTTAACGAAGCCTTGGCCTCGTCCAAGTGGAAGGAAAGAAAGGAAGCAGTGGAGGGTCTCTATGCGGCAATCAACGTGCCAAGAATAAAGGACGGCGACTTCAACGAGATCAACCGCGGGCTGGCGAAATGCATGAAGGACGCCAACGTTGCTGTCGTGACTCAGGCCGCGCAGTGTATCGAGGTCCTGGCCAAGGGATTGAGACAAGGCTACGCGAAACACCGCACTACTGTCATGCAACCCATCATGGAGCGCTTGAAAGAGAAGAAGGCCACCGTGGCGGATGCTCTCGGCGCCGCGCTTGACCAAGTCTTCCTGGCGACAAGTCTCACTGATTGTCTCGAAGATATCAACACCTACCTTGTCCACAAGAACCCACAGATTAAGGAAGGCACCATGAAGTTCTTGATTCGTTGCCTGAGAACGACACGCGACGTGCCGAGCAAGCCAGAGATTGCCTCCATTGTCGAGGCAGGCAAAAAGCTGCTGACCGAGTCCAGCGAAGGTCTTCGTTCAGGCGGTGCCGAGATTCTGGGCACCGTCATGAAAATCATTGGCGAGCGCGGCATGGGTCCGCACATGGAAGGCCTAGACGAAATCCGCAAGACCAAGATCAAGGAGTTTTTCGAGACGGCTGAAGTCAAGGCCAAGGAGAAGCCGAAGCCTCCCCCGCCAGCTGCGAAGGCACCGCCTCCGAAGAAGGTCGTTGGAGGAAAGAAGCCCCTGGGTATGAAGAGACCGGCCATGCCGGCAGCAAGCGCACCGCCGCCCGCCGACCCAGAACCCCTCTCCCCACAAGCTTCATCTCGTCCCAAACCCGCAGGCACCAAGATGGGCATGCCAAAGCCGTCTGGTTTGGCAGGCCTCAAATCAAAGCGCCCTCTCGGTGCACCAGCTGCCGGTTCCCCCCGACGCCCTGCTGCCGCGCCGATTATGCCTGACGATGACGAACCTGCTCCTCCCCCACCCCAGCCTCGCATCGGCCTCGGCAGAGGTGGTCTTGCAGGACGATCGCTAGCAAAGCCTGTTGCTGCCCCTGTTCAGATGCCCCCTGCGTCGCCGCCCCCATCCAGTGGACTCACGGCAATGGAGCGGGCCGAGCTCGAAGAACTCCGATCAGCAAATGAGCGCCTTACACGCCAAGTCGAGGAAATGCGGCATGAAAGGAGCAAGTACATGTCCGAGATTCAAGAGTTGAAGAACCAGAACGCAGGTCTCATCGAAGATCACACCCGCGATGTCCTCAGCATCAAGGCCAAGGAGACGCAGTTGGTTCGCGCAAGAAGCGATGCAGAGGCCACGGAGTCAACGAATGATCGCCTCAGACGGGAGCTTGACCGCCTTAAGAGAGCGCTCAACCACGCCGAGGCCCTGAACTCAAGGACGGGCATGGGTAGTCCCGGTAAGATAGCAGCTTCTTCTCCTACGTTAGTTCGCGACCGTGTACTAATTCGCTCGCAGGTCTTGCTTCGCCTACACATGATGACGCTGGTATCTACCGCGACGCCTCATATGGTTCATCATCTGCTCGACATAACCGTGTTAGTTACGCCAGCAACATGTCCGAGGAGAAGGAGAATGGAGACCATCACTACCCTCGCTCAAAGGCACTCAGTCCCGAACTTAGGTATACGGGCAGTGCATCTTCCGGACGCGGCAGCCCTGCTAGAGGCTACAGGAGCTCTGCGGCCACCCCTGTTGATGACATACCAGCACCTTCGTACTCCTCTGGCGGCAGCGGTGGGGGCGGTCCCATGAACTCGAACAGCAACGGTGTGGAAAGCTGGAAGCGTGCAGCTGAAGTGACCAGTCAACTGAAAGCCAGGATTGAACAAATGAAGGTCAGTTCTCCCCTTGATCTGGTATCGTCTATCCCTTCATCGCTAACAATTCTTAGGCGAAACAAGGTTTTGCCCGTCCATGAGCTCAACTGCACCACCCGGTGCCAGATGGTCCGCTGGATACTGACGTGAACATGAAGAGGGGTTTGGTTTGGGGTTCATAATGGTCACGGTTCAAAGGGGGGAATCCTGCGTGTTCTTGGTTGCATATCACTGGCGTCGGAAGCATACCCCGTACCTCATCTCCGGCCTACACTTGGGACAGACAATATTCGTCTGTATGAGTTATGCATTTTCACCTCTTGTATCGGCTCGCTTGTATAAACTCAAAGGGCGCGAGTGTACTTAATTAACGATGACCATGAATAAGAGTCTGCGATACCAATCACCACGAAGAAACGAGGGCCTGAAGTAGTGGCTTTGCGAACACGTCGTTGTTCTTGATTTAGCAATGACACTAACAATTGTACCTAGCTAACCAAGGTAAGGACTGCAACAGCGGGAGTTGAATAGAAACCTACCGCCCGCTTTCATCCATTTATTTCCCACCCAATTCTCCGATACGCCCAACTGAATCCAAATGAATGCAAGCCGCTATACCTGCAATTTCAAATCATACAAAAAACCGATGTCCAGCCCCTAGTCAAACGAAGAGGTAAAGAATACCGCGCAGTGGCCAACACCTCCAAGTCGAGACTCCCTTCAACTCAGCTCGATTATCCCAACCCAGCTGCTCAAGCCGAGCAGCAACCTCAGAATCGGATATGCCGAAACCATCCGCCAGTACTATAATGCAGCATGAATTTCGGAATGTACTTCGGCTTCGGTTCCACATCCTTCACATCCTTATCCCCCTTCCCCGTCTCCCTTTGCACCCCCTCCACCTTGGCAATCTTCCCATTACTCATCGTATGCACCTCAGGCCTCATGATGTGAACATTCACCTCAACTGGATCAACCTGGATATGCGAGCGTTTGTCTTTGGAGCGTCTGTTTTTGGCGATGGTAATCCGCCCATCTTCTTCTTCGAGTAGCACGTCTCGGCGTTTAGTGAGGAGAGACGAGGTATAATGTGACGACGACTGGATTCTGTTTATGACCCGGACAGGATCGACGCGTAGGGCCGAGAGGTCGACGTTGTCTACGCCGATTTTGCCCGTGTGGATGCCAAGGTCTTGGACGGGGACGGGAGGCAGGTCGGGGGTTGGGGCGAAGACTTTGTTGTCTTTTGCGGTTGGGAGGGCGACGGTTGTTTGGAGTAGGAGGAGGGCGAATACAGATGTTGTGAGGTGCATTGTTCTGTTCAGTCTTGTGGTGTTCTTTTCGAGTGATTGTTGTGACACAGTGGCTTCAATGTTCAGAGTCGAGTGACTGACATAGTTTCTTGGTGTCAAGTAAGAGTGGTGGGGGAGTTCCCAGAGCCCGCGGACTTATACCACCCACCGAAGGCGAAAAGAAGCTTTTCTCCATGATTCCACCGGCGCATCAAAGTTGGGATCGGGAAAAGAGGGGATCGCAAGAGACAGTCCAAACAATCTTGCAACTGTGCGGTGCGGGCGTGCCGCGTGTGTACGTGCGGGCCACAACGGTGTCAAGTGTCATCGACTGCCAGTCTGACACCTTCTTCTGGATGCAGACTCGGGGAAAGTTACTCGGTAAGTTTGGGAGGCGTACATTACTGCACAGTACTTGAGTCTTTCTGTAGGCCGGGGGGCCGTGGGCTGAAGAGAGGGGTTTGCGAAAGGTTCTTACCGGTTGGCTGTGGATTTAGGTGAGGTCATCATGTGGTAGGAACATCAGACCAACTTTCATACTCGCGTGTTTGGTTTCGGAGCCTTGAGCGTGTTGGAAGGTTTTGGAAGTCGGGGGGGCTCCCTTACTTGAGCTTTCGGTGGACTGTTTGACTGTGTCAATGTGTGAGGAGGGTGAGCTTTGACGTTGGAAAGTCCGGATGAGAAAGCTTGGTTCGGGATGTTGAGAGAGGACGCCGGGTTTACGGCCCCGCCTGACGCGGGCGTTGGGTTGAGAGCCGATGTTGACTTGTTATTCCAGTCTACCAAGTTAGTTGTACTTGACCAAGTTTTCTTCCTGTGATAATTGATCTTCATCTCTGGCTAATTATCTCACCTTTCTTTTGTTGTCACGACGCAACTCTGGCGCACCTGGCGCAACCTCGGCCATTGGGTCGTCTGATTGGACTTCTCAAGTCAATCAACATAGTCTTCACCGAATCTTGAAAAAAAAATTGCATTCAAAAAATACAGAAAAGATCCCCTTCCACTAGACTCAACTCCCGGACAACGTGAGCTGGCTGCATGTGCTCAGAGGTTCCTGGTGATATGTTTACACTTGTAGCAGCAGCCCATAAGCTGGCTCTCCAGAGTTCATTGCAGTTTAAACAGAGGCACAACCGAGAAAAATGTCAGTTCAACAGAAGCAAGAGTTATCAAAAGTGTGAATTCTATCACGTCCGTATGCGTTCGAAACCCTCGAAGGCTGAGGTGTGGCGGAGCGGTTGCTGTTGGAAGTAAAATTGCTTTTTGCTAATCACCACAAGGCTTTTTCCCCAGATGTGGTTCGCCAGTATGCAGTCTTCAAGGCGCCCGATTAGGCGGTCTACTTGTTTCCGCATAATGAGTCAGTAATGGCTGTCCGCCAAATCGACTAAAAGGCTGACCTGCAGGTCTGGCTTGTTATCTTGCCAGGGGTAAGCGCGTCTAAGCCTCCATCTCCCCTGGCGCCAGGCACGACCAACAAGGATGATACGATGTTGAGAGACTTGTAAACTGCACCTGCGAGTCGGCAGCCTCGACCCCCAGAAGTAGTTTCGCCGGGGTGTTTTTCTTCATGTTATATTCATGTTAACTTTGGCGACTTGTATCTCTAATGCGGGCATCCCATGACAGCATCACTTCTTCCAAAATTCTTCCTCTAGAGTCGCTCTTGTCTCATCCAAATATTCTCTGTCCAATAGAGGAACCAAAATGGCCGACCCTCTCAGCATCGCTGGCTCAGTTGCTGGATTGTTGGCCACGGCGGTCAAAGTGTACAACACCACCTCCAATTTCGTCTCCAGCGCCATCGATGCCCCCGAGTCCGCGATGCAAATGTTTCGAATCATTGAAGAGACGAAGATGACTCTGTCTTCTGTCCACAAGCTACTTCATTCCCTCGACACCTTCCCCAGTTCCCGCAAAAACATGATCCAGCTCGACCACCTTTCGATCGTCATCACGCACTCGGTCCTGACCCTTTCAAAACTTGAATCTATCGTCTGCCAGCAGGATGGATTGCGGTCCCGGATGAAATGGGCGCTGTGGCACGAAAAGAAGATCCTAGCTCTTCTTCCTCGGTTGGAGTCCCAGAAGTCAACATTGGCTGTAATGGTCACAATTCTCAATAGGTGAACAGTAGACAATTAAAGGTACCGGGTGTCCTGAAACTGATTCATTGTGTCATAGCGAGACCCAAGAAGAAGCGGTTCGCTCTCAAGCTACTATGTTGGCCAAAGTGGACGAAATTCTTGAGCAAAATCGGACATTGGCCGAACAACTGAAGCTGCTCGATAGCGAAACGTCGTGGGACACGAGGTCCGTCAAGTTCATGGACAATGCGTCCTCAAGACTGAGTAGACCTGTGTCTACACAAAGTGCTGTCTACAGACCCTCTTCAGCCGTCTTTCGGAGGCCACAATCTTCGGAGGGATCAATGAACATGACGCTATCAAAAAGAAATTTCGAGCTCGACCTAGGTCAATCGAGGGTTTATAAACGGACCCAAGATCGCGAAACAGACAGATCCTCATTCACAACATCCAACGCCCCGACAAGTGCTTGGAGTATGCTCTCGGGTCTCAGTATCGGCGACATTTCCATTGTGTCGGCGTTTAGATTGCCACTTACTCTCAAGGAGATCAACAAAATTGCACTAGGGTCAATATTCTCAAGTCTTTTGATGGACCATCAATCCATGGAAGACCAGACTCGACCCAGCCAATTGGAGCGCAGCGACTCTCTGTCAAGAGCTATTATTAGGGGCAAAAGATTGGCTGGAACGTTAGCTCTTAAACTTGATGAGTCTGATGACATGGCGTTCAGAGAGCCCAGAATTCAACATGAAGGATTGACAACTTTCACGTGAGTACTTGGTCTCCTATCTCCAAATCGGTTTTATATTGAGTAATCTAGTATCATGATAGTCGGAGACTCCCAAGCGCTCAAGAATGAGATGATCAACACTTTCGTCAACCCAAGACCATGGTTTTCACACGAAAAAGATGTATATGTACACACCCCAAAGTATACTCATTATTCTCGGAACGCAGTACGGTACGTGTCTTTTACAACGCCAGAACTATAGTCTGTCGAAACTGTTCATGAATACTGTGTTGACATGACAGTGTGAATGGTGAACTGCTGGGTCTTGAACTACGCGACACGACGGGACTAGAAGATGACCTCCCTCTCAGGCAACAGTCGTACAAATGTGTGGATGCGTTCTTGATTCTCGTAAGCGGAGAACATGTAGTCCAGGCCGAAATCCAAGACTTGGTGAACGAGGTTTCCAGCGCGCGACCAGACGCCCCTCGTTTTCTGGTCGGGACGTATCAGGGCACTAGGGCCAGGGATCCCTTCGTTGGGTTGGAACGCATCGGCGGCATCGCAAAACCCTTCCTTGGTTCAATAATGAAAGTGTTATACTTAGATGTGGAGCACCCGATGAGCGTTGGAAAAGTCATTGCACAGGTAGGCTTCATGTCAGGGCCGTTGATTCAATGACATATAGAGCTAATCAAGTTTTGCGCAGGCCATTGTAGCTGCGAATCGTAAGGGTCTGAGGAGCTTGCTCGAAACCTCCACCTCGCTTCAACTACCTATATCCAAGGTAACGATAAATTAGGGAAGATCGACAGGAATGAAGTTAAGTATTCAGTACCTCAAGGTTATCCTTGAGTATCAATTGAGTATCAAGCAAGACAAAGTGATCAAATCGTAGCGAAAGCGGGGAGAGAGCTACAGGACGGGGCATTGTCGGTTAAATGTGGGTTGAGAAAAGCTTATACTACCATTGAAAGGTCTCTTAGAATCGAGGTACCACACCTCATGGAGAGATTTGAATTAGGTGGCTTCCACCAAAGGCAATCGATAACAGAGACTTCTCAAATCACTTTCCTGCTTTTGATTTGCTCTGTTTACTGTCCTCCAAAACTTCACTTTCACTGGAAAGGCTATCCATCTCAACGTCAAACTGCGAGTATCTGCTGCGCGGCCCTCGAGAAATACTGGCATGTGTGCTTTCCTTCACTCTCGACCCTTCCGAGGCAATCAGTCTGGGTGCCATTGCTCGGAAAAATCTGCGTAGGGTAGGCATTGAGCCACATATGATGAACAGATTCACCTCGACGAAACTTTAAGGGGGAAGTCGTTAGTTACTAGCTTGGAATATGGAGGACTTTGGAAGAGGACGGGGCTGAGTACGTACGACCAGACATTTGCAGGGGCTGCTACCCATGGGATATCATTGGATGAAAGAAGCGACTGCAAGTAAATCATGCGGACGACAGATGTCGTAACAGTTCTGGGCAGGGGATCAGTATGTTTTCCTCAGACGGCTGGAATATGGTATTAATACATGGATCCAATGCCAAACATTAAAACGGCTCCGACTTTGACAGCCGGCCGCATCTGCAAACGGAGAACCATGGGAATGGGTATGATGAAAAGAACGACATCAGAAACGATGTTGGAAACGGCGATGGCCATGTAAAGCACTGCCGAGTTGAGGCATGTTCCGGCGGCATAAGGGTCCCAGTTTGTGCGAATGGGTTGACAGTGGAATAGTAGAAGTGATGCGATAATGATCGTGTACGTGGCTACCATCACGATGGCTGTCATGATGGCGTTTCGGTACCACTTTTGTGGTGAAATGTTGAGGTACGCTGTCAGAAGCGAGGTTTTTGTCAAGCCGTTGCAAGTGATGAACACCGGGGCAACAATGTAAGAGCTCTGTGAGACCGTATCAACAAATAGTATGTTCAAGTTGACAACGTTAAGTATGAACTCAGCCAGGCAACTCACCAGCATGTGCTTCTCGTATGTCTGTATAGACATCTCGAAAGCATGATGGCCCAAGCCCCTGATCGATATAGACCCTGGAGAATGATGTGAGTTTCTTCATCGAACCCCGAGAACCTGAAGGTCTAGTATCTTACAAATTTGCACAGACTGCATGACAATGGAACAAATCTTGAAAAATCAGTTTCGTTCGGGTTCAAATCCAGGGAGGTCAGATAGTCACCCATGCGAAGAAGATCAGAACTGTGGAGAATGCGTGTTAGTGACAGCACGAACATGGTTGTGCGATGCCAAGTCACTCACAATCGTCGATCTTTGGACCGTCAGATAAACAGAATTTGGTATAGAACCTTTGTATCAAGGTCAAGAATGCCAAGGATCCCAGAATACCAAATACCAGGTAGTGTTCGAGCACTTTCTGTTGTTGCGGATGGTCAAAGTCAACCTGGTAGCCATCGGGGGCCTTGATGACAGTTGTGATGCCATTTGCGACCGGAAACTCGGCCATGAGAATGACCAAGGACTGAAGGTCTTCAAAAATCTAGTGGAAACGAAGAAGAAAGCTCAGAAAGGAGAGACTGACGACGGATCCATCCCTACATACTACGCGAACAAACAGCTGCAACCCTCAATATTTAAGCATTACGCACATTGCACACTCTGATCTGCTTGAGCTCTTCTTCCAATATGGTAACCATGCCATGGCAAATGACGAAGAATCGGCCCTTGACTTATATTAAACATGACTTCCGCGACTGGGAAATACTCTGAGCTATCACATTGCGGTTTTCTGTCAACCAACACGAGCATCGCCCCTGGCCCGTGGGACTGCATGGGCCCTTGCTTCCTGATGGACCTTGGCCTGCACTCTCACATACTAGGTAGCTAAGCAACGCGGGACAGGGCAGCCCACATCCAGCAAATTTCGCGAATGTGCGTATGGATGTGATGTCTGGGTACTCAACCCTTGTGGTCTCGACTGAACTGGGTGAGAGAGCGGCGCAGGCAGTGGGTAGATTCTGGACCACGAATCTAAACGCTCCATCGCTCAACCGCGAGAACCGAACCATGGAATATCCATAGTGCAAACAACGCAAACAGTAGCAACCCTTGAAGACCAATTTTATTGGAGCATGGTATTGTGAACAATATTGGATTTTGACAACCTGAGCTGGAGCCACGGCCGGGAACCACACCAAGATCGAAAGACATAAAGGCTCAGATCCATTCCAGTCTTTCTTTCTGAAACCTTAGGAGACACAAGCCAAGTTCAGGTACTCGGGCACCTCTTCCATTCATTCTCACCCTCATCTTGAACCTAATCTCAGCCAAGATGGTCCGCCTCTCCGTCCCATTCACTATCGCTTCCACGCTGCTCGCCAGCAGCATGGCCGCATGTTCAAACACTGGGCAGGCGCAGATGGTCACATACGTCAAGCGAGGAACCAACTTGACCCAGGCTCAGTTTTGGGACTACTGGCAGACCCAGCACGCCCCCAAGGTTGCCCCCTTGGCTGTGCACTTCAACATCACACGTTACCAGCAGGTTTGTGAAATGGAACCCGGCGTTTGCATTGCTGCGAGTCGGCAATGAGCGTAAACTGACCCTGCCACAGATCCAAGTCGGTGGTCAGATTCTTCCCACCGAAGCAGGTTCAACCGTGCCAGCGTCCACTGTTCCGGTCGACTTTGATGGTATTGCCATGTTCCTCTACAAATCGCCCGAGGTTCTTACGGCCATGCTCTCTCATCCCTACTACCTCGCCGTTGTTGAGCCTGACGAACACGTCTTTATTGACAAGAGTGCTTTTGGTAACGGCATGGTCGCAACATTTGTTGGTACCGATATCGAGATCGTTGACGGGAAACAAGATGTGTGGGTAGGAAGCCAGGCTACGCGGGAAAAGTTCCAAAAGATCTTCGAGTCGTACCTGTAGGGCTTGGGATAAATTCCACCTGTTATCTTAGATTCTGTAAGTGAGATGGAGAGACCTGCCATATAGAGTAATTTAACCGGAGACTTGAGTACATGTACAAATCCAGGGGCTTCAGATTTCGTGTCAACTCTCAAGTTTTGGCATATCACTTGACCGTATGAAGCCCGCAAGTCTACTTTGCACTTGTGTGCGTCGCGTCCACTGGCAGCGTGCTGCTGTAATCTTTTTCTTTTCTCTCTGATGAAAAATGACTCGTAAGATCTTGGCGATAGTGGCAACAGCATTGTCGACTAGGTTTCCAGAAGCTTTCCGGAGTATCTTCTGAACTGAGAGAAAGTTCCTGCAGAAACTGTTGGTTGTTGTTCAATCATCACATCAAATATGACGGGTCATATGTGGTCGAGGTGACATCCCACTTTACAGTTGTACCCCCGGGCGGAAGTGGATCCCCGGCGGCGGAGGCCTTAACCGTCTCTCCGGTCGAGCTCTTTGGGAGGGGTGATGGTGATATGTCAACACTGTATGTGTTGGACATTTATGGAGTCTTCAAGGGGAGCTCTCGGAAAGTCTTCCCGCTTGGCTTGGTGAAGGTGTGGAGCGTCCTTGGATTCTGCATGCGGACAAGGACCACGTAAACCCCTGGCAGACCGTTTTCTGTTGGAACTGGGGGCAATTCTATTTCATCGGCTTCTTGAACCAGGGACCTTTGACATCTCCCCATATGCCCGGACACATGCCATATGATCACTGAGCGTAGAAACAGAAATGATCAAGAAAGAAGAGGGTGTATGGAGTACGTCAAACCTCAGGGTTGGGCCGTAGGCGGACTCGGCTGCCGACTTTCAAGTCTGGGACAGGTATCTGTCTGGCAACGATCATTACCAAATTCAAAGATTGGGTCGCGGGTAGAAATGAAATCGGCCTATCCGTACTTGCCACTTTGATCGGAACCATTGATATGCGAGCAGCATGCTCCCGGCGTCCTTGCTCAGTTGTCGCGGCGGAATCATTCCATTTGGGCTGATTGCTGCGGAAGCGGCCGAGCTCTGATGCTCTGGGACTAACGGCTAAAAGAAAACATGCATGTCTGTACAAGGAACTCAGATGGGAAATCAGCTGGCTGGAAAATGGTCAAACCAGGTTTTGAGCATGGCCAAGAGGTAACTCCGGGGGAAGACCTCTTTCTTATCCGCCGTTGGACCAAAAAGTTGCGGTGCACCATGGCCGGTGATACTACTCCCGCGTGATATCTGGTGGCTCTCTTGATACCTATCTTTAGCTCCACAGACTATGAATCAGGATGAAGTACCTAGCTTTGTAGGAAAGTGTGCATCCTAGAAACGCGAGAACCATCACAAAGAGATGGAGGCTTCAGCGGTGTTTAATATTTGAGCTTTTGGCGGCTACACATGGGGCTTCGATTTTGTTGTCTTGTAAGAAGTTCAAGTAGTCAGTCTGGAATTATTATATACATGAAGAAAGCAGTTTATGCAGTCACTAGCATGGATAAGAGCTTAGTTAGCAAGACAATCATATTTACAAGCCCATCCTTCTTTCCTCAGAAATGCTGACCCCATCTCGGGAGTCGGTGCTTGACTTGCATGCTCAGATACGTCAGGACACCACTTAGAGAGCAGACTGCACGACCGGGTACTTGGGGAACGCAGGTGCGTAGACCTGATAAATGATCAGTAAGATGCCCGGATCTGGAAGTCAGAGGTAACAAGATACGTACCGACTTGCAGCGAGCATTGAAATCGCCGGTTGACCCCTGAATGGCAGACAACTCATTTCCAGGGATCCCAAGCTTGATCAAAGGCCCAGACTGCGGTGACCCCTTGGCCCATCCAGGCCCGGCAGCCGGGTTCTTGATCCAGTCCACAAACCAACCATGAATTGAATCAGCCAGTGCCTGCTGTGCCTCACTCACGCCCGTAAGGGAACCAAAGCACTCGTTGCCTCCATGAAAGAAGGGCACCTCGGTTCCGTGCGTGGGTCCTGTTCCCGGAACCCCTACCACGTTGTCGTAGGCTCCGAAGAATCTGTAGACCCAGGTGTCTTGCTTGGCACTGCGCAGGTCCAGAAGATAGTCGACGGCGCAGTTGAAACGGGCGTCGCCATACTGGGCACCACTTCTGAGGGATTCCGTCTCATAATCGGAAGCATTATACGCCGCTAGCAGGTTTTCGTCTTCGATATGCGCACTATCAGCGTCGAAAGTGTTGATCCAAGAGCTGAAGTTGCTGTTTTCGGCGCCATACACTAGACTGAAGATGGTGCCCTCACCATCAGAAGTTCCCGTAAGGAGCGGTACGTGCGATGCATACTGGCCAGCTGCGAATCTTGCAGCGTAGTCAGAATGTCTCGTGACGTTATCAATGACAGGGGTAAACCATGCGTTCAAAGTCGAGTTGAAGTTGACTGTTTGGAAGGCGTAAGTGTCAACGCTGCGCAGGCACTCGAGCTGGTTCTCCCCTGCCTTCGGGCAGCCAACCTCAGCCGCTACGGCATCGAGTGCTTCGTCGACTGGCGCGTATGCCGGCCCAGACATGGCATTCGCGCTCATCTCAACTGCTCCCTTGAGCCACGAATCTGGGTGGTTCCAGAGGTAGTGATCCACCTGCACGGCTCCGGACGAGTGGCCACCGAAGACGATGTGATCGGGGTTACCTCCGAATGCATGGATGTTGTCGCGGACCCAATCAAGTGCCTTTTCAACGTCGAGGATACTGAAGTTCTGTGACTCTTCAGTTTTAGTAGAGGCCTCGTTGAGTTCCGCCGAGTTCGGCGACGCATAGATGCTCTCGCGGGTGTTGAAGTTGACGTATACCACACCATTGCGGGCAAAGTTAGACCCTTGAAGTTGGGGGTTGCTGCTGGAACCTGTAACCATGGCACCTCCATACATGTATACGAACACAGGCAAGTTTTCGCCTGTGGAGGGTGCCCAGATGTTGAGATTAAGGCAGTTCTCATCCTGCTGGGTGTAAAGAGTGCCGGAGATAGCTTGAGGGCAAGTTGGACCATAAGAGGTTGCGATCACCGTCGAGTTAGACTTCGGTGCATCTTGCGGCGCCCTCCATCGGTTTTCACCGGCCGTTGTTGCAGCAAATGGGATGCCCAGGAACACCGAGTTGCAACTCGCGTCATGGTACCCCTTGACGAGACCTTGGGATGTGAGGGCGTGAGGCGCAGATTGAGTTGAGTTGCTGCAAGTGCTTGCCAGAACTGAGGGCAACAAGCTGGAGAGCACCATGGCAAGGGCTGCAGCTGATGACGACATGTCGTTGAGTTGCATGTTGTGTCGATCAATACCTCCAAGATGCAGAGAATGCGGAAACCATGTTGATGGGATGGAATTTCTGAAAGAAAAGGAGATGGACTTTTCAAGACCGAGTTCTTCAGGGCGTCTTCAGAGTGGATATTCATTACAAAATACGACATCAAGACCTTGTCAACCCCACTGAAGACCGTTGTGGATTAGCCCATTGCGACGGATTCTCGGTGATGTTGGAGCGATGCCCCAGGGAATCAGCCCCAGGCTCATTTATGCTTCTCTTGAAAGTTTGGATGATCCTCTCTTCCCCAGATGTTGATTCTCCTATACCCCAAAAAAGCAATTGTCAATAGGGCTGATGATGGCAAGTTGCAGAATTCAAGCATCCTCACATTCAACATACTAGGTGATTGAGGGAGCAGGGGGGAGGGACGAGGAGGTTACGTAAATAACCATAAGTACCGTCAGCAACCCCCCCGGCATAGCGGATAACTTGCCAAAAAGGGGAGATGGCTGAGGGCAAGGCAGTGGAGAAAGACACGACCGAGTTGAGGGCCTGAGAATATTCGCAGCTCGTAGACTTAGTAATAGCGCTGTCTCGCTGGTTCTTCTCAAGCAGCGAAGTTTTTTCCCACTACGCGCTCTGCTTTTGCGCAGAGTGCCTATAGGTTCTCATTATGTTGGAAAGACAGTGATTACAACTCGTCTTTCTCGTTTCTGGACGGATCAAAAGTCTTCTTCTTCGTCATGCCAGCCAGAATATCGACAATCAGATCAGCGGCAGCGACGGAAGTTGTCTCGGCCACAGAGTCATACGGCGGGCTGACTTCAACGACATCAGCACCGACCAGATTGAGACCCTCAAGACCCTTGAGGAATCTCTTCAGCTCTCTCGTGGTCCAACCGCCTGACTCTGGCGTTCCAGTAGCTGGAGCGATGCTCGGGTCCAAGACTTTGGCGTTATTAGTAAAGCATTCTTAACGGGGAGCGGTACCAACTTACCATCAATGTCGATGGAAAGATACACCGGCGTATTACCAACGGCGTCTCTGACTTTCTTGACGATGCCATTCATGCCAATATCGTCAATCTCATGTGCTTCAATTATGGTGAATCCGACGACATCCCTGTCGATCTCATAGTCTTTCGGGCTCTGCACTTCGTTAGATAGGGCGATCATCATGAAACCATCTTGCTACTCACAAAGAGCTTGGTCCTCAAGCCGCCATGAACACTGGTGCCCTTGCTGATGCACCCTTCTCGGCTCGCATGCCAGAAGAAGGTTCCATGGGTAATGGCGGACTGGTTCGAAACGATTCCCGTGTAGCCTTCATAAGGATCCCATCTGCGCGCGAGCATTGTTAGTGGATGGTGACTTAGACCGGTGAGATTTATGTCAAGAGCCTCACGTGTCAAGGTGCGAATCGAGATGGATGACTGAGATGGGTCCATAAACGGTCTTCAGGCTGCGAAGAATTGGCAGGACTATGGAGTGATCGCCTCCAAGGCTGATGATGCGGGGATGTTCCCATTCATCTAAACTTTATGTTAGCGGCTGTAACTCTGCCTGCATATCTTCGCCAACATAAGTACTCTGTAGACTTACTCTGATCGGTGGTTGGATGGTAGAGAATCTGTCGATACGCCTGTTCCATCTGCTTGAACGCATGGCTGGCATCAAAGGGGGTGATGGGCACGTCTCCACAGTCGATCTTTCACCGCAGTATCGTGTTAGTGATTACATGATCCATGGGGATGTTTACTCGGATAAGCCCTCACAATCTCCAGCCCCTGTTCGTAAGGGTCAACTTCCCACACGGTGTTGTAACTACGCCCTTTCTTCTCCCTGGATGACCCAGCCCGAATACCTCTCGGGCCGAAGCGAGCTCCTGGACGGTAGGAAGTAGAGGTGTCATAAGGGAATCCCAGAACCGCAATGTCAAGAGGCTGGGCTCAAGGTCAGACGAATCTTCATATGGCTTTCAAGCTGCAGGGGACTTTACCTTATTATGCGACTCCGCTAAACAACGTTGCCATTCCAAGTGCGCAAATGTCACAGGCTGAGAGAACGGCAGATCTTTGTCCAGATCTGGGAGCAAGTTTAGGTGGGAATCTTCAACCCGATCGGCGAAACAACTGAACAAACGTACCTTCTAGCGGATATTGATAGTTTGGACCAACATTCAGACCAGCTGCAAGGTCAGCACCCGCGCAGAGTAGGATTGCATCTGTAACACGCATGTTCAAAGTGATTGTTGGTTTTCTTGGCTTGGGTGTTTCGCAATCGATCTGGCTTTGTTAGGTGACATTTTTGTATGATGTCCATCGTATGATTTGCTTAAATAATACCCGACAAGACGTGCATGTTCAGATGACGACTAAAGTGAGGAGAACCAACGCCGATTCGAGGCCGATAGGTTGAAGCCTTGATGCACCTATCAGACGGTTGGAGTTAATCAAGAGGCAAGAGACTCCGACGTCTCCAACGGCCGGGAATAGGGCCCCCACATCGCTCAAGCCGACTCCTGGAAGTCGACTCCGATATCTTTGGGAATGTTTCACGCGCTATCATGGGCTAAGGCGCGCCTTTAGATAAGAAGTTGGCTTATCTCTTTGAACTAGCCAGATGAGTCGCGAATATCTTCAAAGTATTGATGAATAAGATATCTATATGGCAAGTATAAATGCAGATGGAAGGTAACATGTCAAGTTGCTTGGGTGTAGATTGAGACTTAAGGTGAAGCTTTTCGGGAAAGCTTGTTCAACGAGCCCTATCAAGATCCCTGTTTCCGAACTTTTGCCTCATTAACTCCTCAACCCGTCGAAATTTTGTTGTTGCGAACATCTGCAAGCAAATATGATGGAAACAAAGACAGAGGGCGACAGCGACAACAAGGCCAGCGGCCACGTTGCGACGTCATCCCACCCGGAATCTATCGAAGCTACGGAAACTGCAGAGCTGTCAACCAAGCGCGGTCTTTCTGCCCGACATGCACAATTCATCGCCCTTGGTGGAACCATTGGCACTGGCCTTTTCGTCGGTTCCGGCAGCACCCTCGCCCGCGGCGGACCGGCCTTCCTCGTTGGCAGCTACGTCGTGATGTCAGCTCTGATCTACTTGGTCTTGACTGCAGTCATCGAAATCTCGACGTATCTTCCGCTGCCAGGTGGCACCATGAACTACTACGGCAGCCGTTACGTATCGCGAAGTCTTGGTTTCATGATGGGATGGCTCTACTTCTACTCTTTTGCCATCTTTGTCCCCTTCGAGCTCACGGCATCAGCCCTGGTCATCGAGTACTGGCATCCGAATGTTAATAATGCCGTCTGGATCACGATCATGTTGGTAATGGTTGTCGGTCTCAATCTTCTACCCGTCAAATTCTACGGCGAAACGGAGTTTTGGTTCGCCGGACTGAAGGTTTTGACTATTGTCGGCCTGCTGATCCTCTCAATCGTTCTGTTCTTCGGAGGCGGTCCAACTCACGAGCGCCTATATTTCCGATACTGGAATGACCCAGGTGCTACCAAGGAGTTAATCGTCTCAGGCGACGCAGGCAGATTCGTGGCCGCCTTGTCAACTCTTCTCAGCAGCGTTCTTCCGTTCACCTTTTCACCTGAGATGGTTGTCGTAACCGCCGGAGAGGTTCAATCTCCTCGCAGGAACCTGCCGAAAATTGCCCGCAACTTCTTCTGGCGATTGATCGTCTTTTACATTGGGGGGACCATTGCTATTTCCGTCATCTGCCCTTCCAACGCACCGGCACTCACTAGCGGAAGCTCTGGAGCTGCGGCCTCGCCATGGGTTGTAGGAATTAAGAACGCGGGAATCAAGGGACTCGACAGCGTGATTAACGCCGTCGTCGTTACGGCTGCCTGGTCCGCCGGCAACTCATTCCTCTACTTGGCAAGTCGATCTCTGTACTCGATGGCCTGTGAAGGTAGCGCTCCACGGATCTTCAAGCGGTGCACCAAGCAAGGAGTTCCCATCTACGCCGTTATTGCCAGCTCGTTGTTCTCACTCTTGGCTTACATGAACGTCAACTCGAACGCGGCAGACGTGTTCAACTGGCTTCTGAATCTTGTCAATACTGGCGGCTTCATCTCATGGGTCTGCTGCGGAATCATCTACATCCGCTTCCGCAAGGCCTGCGACGTTCAAAACTTGCCGAAATCAGCTCTTGTTGCACGATCATTTTTGCAGCCTGTTGGATCATACATCTCGCTATTCATTTTCGGACTTCTCTGTTTGCTCAACGGCTTTACTGTTTTTTTTCCGTCCCGCTGGTCCGTGGCCGACTTCTTGTCTGCGTACATTGGGCTGCCATTGTTTGTTGTCATCTACTTTGTTCACCGATTTTTGCATCGCGCCGATTCCTGGGCTATCTCCTCCCACGAGGTTGATCTCAAGACTGGTTTGGCCGAGTTAGAGGCAGAGGAGGCGATGGAAGAACCTAAAGAAGGGTTGCGGGCGCGCTTCAAGCGCCATGCAGGCAAATCGTCTTAGAGGGGGATTTAAGCGCATGAATGATAGGGCGTCGCAGTCTCCTGCCTGGATCTATGAGAAGACTAATACGACCTAAGGACCTAACAGTGCGTATGATTTACTTCATAAAACAATTGGTAATCTCAGATAAAGTATGAATGATATTAGACAAGCTTCTCGGTTTCAGTTTCCACAGATGTCATCCTGTTCTCACCTCTTTTAACCTAGAAATCTTAGTCAATTACCCATCATGATGCGACAGGTCAGAGTTCTCATAGTGGGCTGCGGCTCTGTGGGAAGCATGTGCGCGTACGCACTTCAGAAGTCCGGAGAAGCTGAGGTCACTGCGATACTGCGGTCCAACTATGATCTAGTCTACGCCCAAGGCTTTCACATTCGAAGCATTGACCACGGAGAAATCAATAGTTGGAGACCTCATCACAGTGAGTTCTTTGCCGGTTCATTCCCCTCGCAAATGTCATGATATTGAAGTGATACAGTGGAAAGATCCCTCGAAGACACACTCAAGCATGGGCCTTTCGACTTTGTCTTGGTGGCCATGAAGAACTTGCCCGATGTGTACTCGATCCCGAACATCATTGGCCCAGCCATTACATCCCAGACATCAATCATTCTCGTTCAGAACGGCATTGACATTGAGCGGCCATTCCTCGAAGCCTTTCCATCCAACATCTTGCTATCAGGCGTCCCGCTGATAGGGTGCGAACTCAACGGTCGTGAGATGTTGCACAATGATCCAGACATTCTTCAGCTTGCGTACTGGCCGAACCCCAAGTTTACCGACGAGGATCAGAGCAACGCGTGCTCCACATTTGCTCGCATGTACAATAACGGCGGCGCCAAATGCAATGTTCAGAAGGATATTTCTTGGTGTCGATGGCGGAAGCTCATCTGGAACGCTTCTTTCAACACCGTCTGTGCCATAACAGGTCTGGACTCTGGCGCCATTCAGGATGCTGGTGGTCTGGACACCCTGATCCGCCCGGCCATGAGAGACATTGTGGCAGTTGCCCGAGCATTGGGTCATGTCTTCCCCGACGAGATACTGGATAACATGGTGGCATTCACGCCCAAAGAGGCCCGATTGAAGCCGAGTATGCAGGTTGATGCAGTAAGGCGGAAGCCCATGGAGATCGAAGTAATGTTGGGGAATCCTATCAGAACCGCGAAAAAGCTTGGAGTATGGGTTCCAACTTTGGTATCTCTGTATGCTCTTTTGCAAACTAAGCAATGGGATTTTTTGAATATGGGAAAGTAATTCTTGTTCGAATCTTCCTTGATGTGCTTGTAAGAAGTTATATACAATTAAAGTCGCTTTTCTCCATCTCCATGCCGTCAGTAAATACACGTAATTGGCCTCCTAGCGGCGGATGTGGACTCTCATGTTGCCATTGCCCCAAGCGTTGTTCTGTCCGAAGACGAGACTCCCACGGGTGCAAGCATCCATGATCTGGCCAGCCGACCGGGCAACGTTGCCACATAGACTGGAGGTGTCCTTGGGAGGGTTGCCGCCGGTAGCAACACCGGCGATCTGAGCCTGGCCACGGTGGCAGAAGACAGTGGCGCTGACGACTGCTTTGCACTGGACATTGGCGCGAGCAGCGATGAAGTCGATGCACCAAACGGCGTCGGCAACCTATGTTAAGCAATGAATGTCAGTAGATGCGCGTCATGATATCTGCGATGGCCCCGGAAATCTCTCGTGATAGGGTGACCAAAGAACAGTCCAGGTCGGCTTACAGAAGCAGCGTTGTCGTTGTCGTTGAAAGTGCAGCTGACATCCTGCTGACGCTTCTCAAGGCCATCTAAACGGTAATAAGTAAGCATTTTGTCCGTGTTGTAATAAGTCAAGCCTGTATCACGAACCGCTTGAAGTCTGATTGAAAGCGAGAGCCATGGCTTCCTCGGGAGAAGGATGTTGTCCGTTGGGGTTGGCAATGATATCCTCGGCCCACTTCTCGAAAGAAAAGCGAACATTCTGCTCGCTAGCCTCGGCGGTCGGGGCGGCGGCAATGAGAGGGAGAAGGGCCAGAAGGCCGGCAGCACGGACGAAGTTAACCATTTTGTGAGAGAAAGATGTTGTTCAAGGCTGTTCGAGAGAAGATGAGTCGAGGCGATGATCTGAAGAGGAAAGACACAGCTAGGTGTCTGGCAAGGAGCTATTTATACGCGTTGGGATGCCATCGTTGATGTGCCTCTGGAAATCACCGAGGAGGACACTGGTCGATAGGATAACACGCTTGCCACATATGGAAGTTTTCTGGACATTCAGAGTCGCCCCGCTGTTGAAGGATGTAGAGTTTGCGAAGAAGGCTGGCTCAGCTACAAGGAATTGAATCCTCACGATGGGGCTGATGTCGCCTCGAATTGCTAGCTGTGTATCCGGTCTAAGGTCAGTACACATATGCACAGCTTAGTCTCTTGGCCAGACTACTCCAATGCAACCTCACTCTCACTGTCAATGAGTCCGTGTCAGCAGGTTGAGGAGTCCACATCGATATGAAAACCGAGACCGGGTAAGGTCTTAGACTTTTACATTGACGACCTTCGATCTCTGCCAAATATTCGAGTAGCTGCGCGACACCTCTCGCGGTCCCGAAGTCTGCTGAGATCTGATTTATCATAATGAGTTCTCTGCGAAACATGAAGTCTTCGTTTCCAGTGCGGAAAGAAGGATGCCAAGTTTCTGCTCCGTCAACACCTGGCGGGCCCAGTATCAAAGTAGATTCAACAATTCATCGGCAATAATGGGTAAAAGTGGCTACCCTTGGCAACTTGCCATTGTCTTGGACTTAGGGCTAGACAATAAGCAACACGAGCAATGCAACCATGGTTAACGGACCGGGAAGAGTTCAATTGGATATCTCGCAATTGAACGCGGGGATAGTTCTTAGGCAGCCGCTTTCCGAGATCTCGGCAGGTTTCCCATAGGCTCGCTCGGGTAGCATAGATTAAGTTGAATGGGTCTCGGGACGACCCAGTGGCGGTGTATCAGCGCTTGTTCGAATAAGCAGGTCCAAGGCGGGGAATTGGCTCTTAGAGGGATAGGTACGGAGATAGGGTGAGAGGACCCGCTGAGACGGCCCGAAGCATTTTGCTTTTCGAAGTTGTTCCCCTGAATTCTGACCGTGAAGAACCCTCGACATCAGCACAGACGAAATGAAGAAGAGAGTTGGCCATCTAGCAATTAAACACACACACCTTAATTATAGGATCGAAGCTGTTCTTCAGCCAGCAATTCCCATTAGATTCCTCTGCCATGCTGAGATTTCGATTAAAAACTGCTGCAACGCAATCATCCGACATTGAGTATCGATTATACGATGCACAAGCTTTAAGGCAATCCAAATATGAGTAAACCTTAATCGCGAGCAAATCATTGGGTTCCCCCTTCCCATAGTTTTTGTTGCAATGTATATCAAATGACACTTTCTTGTCGGACAGTTCAATCACCACTGATTTGCCACTTTTTCTGGACAGGGAATGTCGAGGATCCCTAGTATTGACACGTTTATTGGGGTTCCGGAGGCTTCAGGGATTGTTTCGGTTATCGTTGTGGTAGTGATTGTAGATATGGCAGCCAAAGTCGCATCTCTGTTACTGGACCATTGGATATCTCAAATATCAAGGATGGAAAAGCGAATTGTATGGAGGTTATACTTTCTCGCCTACCCAACAGCCAGTGTACCACCCACCCCGCCGCCCGCAGCTGCTAACACCACAGCCATGGCCAGCAAAGCACTGAGAATTAAAGTCGCCGTCCTCAATCCTCAGACTACACGTTCTTTCGCTGGAGCTTTCAGGTTGTTGGGGTCCAAAATATGCTGTTTCGGTTGATCAGACGCAACAGCCAGCTGTTCAGGGGTTTCTACAGAAATGCAGGCCTCGGGGGCATCAGGAACGTAAGCCTCGGGGCCTGTAGAGCCCGTGATGCAATTTTGTCCTCCGACACGAAAGAATGCGCAAAACCTCAAGCCCGTTGTCATAAGAGAGGATAGGAGTAGAACCGGATGATCGTAAAAGAGGACTGATGGAAGAACGAGAAGGGATGGAATTGGGGGAATCGAACAGTCAAATATTGAGCTAAGAGTATGTAATGTAATGTAGGTTGAAATGGGATAGTCCTTCACACAAGTACTGCCCATTTCTCGTTGCTCGAAGAGCCGAGAACAAGCGAGAATTGGAAGATTCATAGATTTTGGAACATTGCTGACCCTTTAGGAAGCCTGGTGATCACTTTTACTGTTTACAACCCGAGCTGTTCTTTTGTGCGACTACATGTACGCTTTGTGCGTTAATTGGACCCGAACGCAGCAGCTGTACTACATTTCTTCTCTAAAGAAACACGAATACCTGGAGTGTAGAAAGAGTCTTGCACATGTCTGACTATGCCAAGTATGAGAATAAAGCTGGTTGAACTTGGATGCCATGGCCATACTTCACGGGGTATGGGCTTTTGTACGCGTAAGCATTTCGTCCGTTGTAAACCGTGTCAGACCATTTTGCGTCAAATTCGTCTATCAAAGCCAATGAAATTAAGCGTTTGAAATATAAGTTGTACATCCTAGCACCCCAATGGTCTCGCAGAACTTACAAAGTCGAGGGTGCAACACGAAGCTGATGCTAAGATAGCGGGTGAAGCCATATGTACTACCTTACTACAGATTGTAACCCAAATGATCGCTGTGAGAGATAAATTCAGCACCATTCATTGGAACATGGACTAAAGGGATCTATTGTGATGAAAGTAAACGACTCCGAGACCTGTTTAATCCTGAGAACACAAAGTACAAAGATGCGTCCATGTTGATTCATTTCAGCTGTTATCGACATCAAGATGTTGGTCATGAAGCAGAGACCAAGAAGCCAATGAACGTGGATTAGACTGACGATGGAAGTCGAGGATAAGTCTGAGGCGTCGCTAAGAGAGAGGGGATACACCCCTCTCAAGGCCAGCTCATGCTCATAGTCCGTCTGAAACTTCATCTACATACATGTGGTCTGGTATATCTAAACAAGAGTTACCTTCCGAGGTAGCCTCTGAGCGTGGGCCCAGAAGAGTCGCTTGCTGACTACTGATGCTTGTATGAAAGTTTCATTAGTGATTCCCGTGATTCTCTCCACGCTTCTAGCGACGAATAGGCTATCTGACTCCATGTTCAAAGCTCGATTATTTGTAGTCGGAAGTGGGCGGGCCTGCAGATAGAGTACGTAGAGAGGTGGAGTGGAAAGGGGGGTCACCACTACCGTGTCAAATAGAACTTAGCTACCTCTCTATTGTGTTAATCATAAGGTCACAACCGTTACAACTAACATCAAAGCCTCGGTGTCTGACAACTTCATCCCGTTTTCGTCTGCGCTCTGGAGTTGGACGGACGGCAACTTTCATAAATAAATCAGAGGATCAGAGATGCTTGACTGAGACTCTAAAGGCTATCGACTCTATGGCATCAAACTCAACTGATGCTCGTTGATTATACATGTTATGGCAGTTCCGCCTCCTGAATAAGTACAATTGGTCTAACTAGAAGCAGTGTCTCACCGCCCAGATGCAGTGATCATAATATTCACGAGAGAAGGGGACTAGATGCTCAATCCAGGATGCCGCCCACAGCAGAGTTGTCAGAAATAGACCGGGGACTAGTCGCGTTTTTGAGCCAACAATTCCCATTGTTTGGGCCGACATTTCCCAGATTCGCATTAAAAGTCGCCGCGACGCATGTTTTCGACCCTGAGTTGCGATTATATGATGCACAAGCCCTGAGGCAGTCCAAGTACGAGTAGACTACAACTGCAAGGATGTCTAGAGCCCCCTTCGACCCGAAGCTCATGCCACAATGCATGGCAAATTGGGCAGTACCGTCGGAGAGTTGTATTGTTCTCGTTTCACCCTCCATGGCTGGGCAGGGAAGCTGGATTTTTCCTTGGGTTGGGACTACTATCGGGCTATCGCTGTCCGTCGATGCAGGCACCAGCGCAGTGACTGTGGTCGTGACAACTGTAGTAGGCGATGCTACGGAAGACATCGCATCGCTATGAAAAAACCATTAGAATTTCGCGGCGGAAGGAAGGAATTGGCATTGGATCATACTCTCTTGCTTTTTGGACTGCTAGTGAACCCCCAACACCACCACCGACAGCGGCTATCACTACCACTGCTGCCAGCAAAAAACTGAGCACAAATGTAACTGGCCTCAATCCGCAGATCGTGCGTTCTTTTTTGACGGGAATCGACGAATACGTTTCAGGTGTTGTCGGCGCATAGTAGGCTGATTCATGTTGCCGCGGTTGTTCTGGAACTACTTGCTTGTGAGATACATGGGGGACATACGTCTCGGGGCCGGTCGAATCCATCATGCATCAGGGCTTTCTTGCTCAAAACGAAGGAACTTAAAGGATTTCGTCCTCGAAAACCTCATCCCAAAAAGAAGAGAAGAGAAAGAAGACACAAAACATGGGCACATTGGGCAAATTGGAACCACTGAAACAGCTAGGGACGGCTTATGTAGTATCTTACTCACTTCCAAGGAGACACACAGGATTCTTAAGGATCCATTGTCATTGTTACTCTATCGAGATTTGTGGAAGTCGAAGACCAGGGATCCAACCAGAGCTGCGCACATGTCTCACTGAGCCGTGAGGATCAAGCAGGCTGATGAGGCGCAGAAATTGTGCGACACACCATAATGGCGTCTCACGCATCTATTCGTCCGTTTTGCGGCAGGAGAGACTCGCTTGCATCAGAGTCATCAATCTGAACCAATCATTCTGATTTGGGGGCCAAAGGTCCAACGTGAAGCTGACGCCCAGAGTTCGTTGGAATTAAACATAGTCAACCTTATGGCTCGGCACGTATTGTTTACTGATGGTACATAGCCCCCGACGGCCCGTTTTCTTTGATCAGAACTTTTCAATTTACGACCTGCCTCGTGAAGAAAGCCGGCGGCATTTGATTGAACCGGTGCCCTGCCTGACTTGCTATGCATTGCCAACAGTCATAAGTTATGAGATTGTGCATATGAGTTCTCAACCATGGCAACTTGGGGATTTCTTTCAACTCACGTCACTCACCTTACTGCTAGCAGTCGATTACGGCGGCGTCGAGGGAATCCCCCAGTTTCTTGGCATGACGCAGTCGTCTCTGCTACTCGCCCACATTTCTGAGGAGAATATTGAACAGAATATCGTGCTCCTCCGGAAGTAATGTATAGTTAAGTACCGAGTTTGATATTACCCGATCATAGGTCATATAAGAAGATACACCCGTGAGTCGAGGTTATACCAAAGACATACCCATCCTTCGGAGCCAAATTTACGAAAGGAAGTCTCCACCCGACATAGCCAGTTCATATTCGTAGTCCAGCTGGAACTCTAACCACATAGCCTCCGGCGTAGTCAATCGGTATGTATACTCAGCTTCAGCATCAGGACAGATCTGCTTCTCAATCCCCGACGCCACAGCAGCCTCTGCAAGAAGCTGGATGCGACAGGAGTTCTCCATCAGGGTATATAAAAACGCCGCCTCATCAACCGTCTTCCCTGTCGTCAGTAGACCATGATTCTTCAAGATGGCACACCTGTTATTGCCCAGAGCTGTGGCTATTCTTTCTCCTTCAAAGGCTTCGAAAGCAATGCCGCCAAACATGTCGTGGACGGCATGATCCTTGTAGAAGGTGCAAGCGTCTTGATTGAGCATCTCCAGTGGTCTTCCGAAGGTCGACCACGTCTTCCCGTGGATACTGTGGAAGTGACACGCTGCATTGACGTCGGGTCGGGCTTCGTGAAGGGCAGAGTGGATATTAAACCCCGCGTTGTTGATACAAGCCTACAAGAAGCGATGTTAGTTGGTTGGCCCGCACATTTTGGTTTCGACGGAAGCACGACCATCTGGACTCACGTAATTTCCACCGATGATTTCTCCTTCCATGTTGACATGGACCATGTCGCTGACTTTCATCAGACCGAAGTGACGAGCAAGGCTAGGAACACGAAGACATGGTTAGATAACTGTACTTCAGGTCGCTAAGGATCGTGCAACTTACGGGTTGATCCAAAAAGTATCAGGGTCAACTGGGTCACGAACCGAGATGTGACCAGCCGTGCCCTCGAGATATCCTTTGCGAGCAATAACTCGGAAGGCGCCGGCCATACGCTCCAGCATCCATTTACGTTCTTCATATGGATCCAAGAACTTGGGGATGCCCGAGATAGGAGCACTTCTGCCGATAGTTGCACCGGTTCCATCAATAGTTGATAAGCCGTCCATGATTGTGTCTTCAACTCTTGGGTGTAAAACTTCCTTCTCCCGGAACCTATTTCTTGTCATCGAGGCTCGTGCTTGGCTGGAAGGCATGATGGTGGTAGTCGTAGTCATCTTCAAGATATTTGAGACAAATAACTTTACTCTTCAGGATGGATCTGTCGCGAGTTGCATGTGTAATTCAGCCAAGACGATTTCAGTCAAAAATAGATCGTAAGACTGACTGGACTGACCCAGATATCAATCTGGGTGTCAGGGAGAGCGTCATCCCACACGCTCCTACCACCAATGCGACACCCCAGAATGTGCTCAGAGGCAGGGAGGCAAACCGACCAGGCGGAAGCATGCAAGCCATTTGCCACGCATACGAATGCAAGAGATCCCGATTCATTCCAGATCCCTGGAACTAATTGTCCGGGCAGCTGACAGCGACGCCCTATCTTGACCCCATCTTCAGCCCGAATTGGCTAAGGTGGATCCTGTCGGAGTCTCTTTCCCCACGACATGCTTGCGGGCGTTGTCTTATCGCATTGCAAACTAATTCTTGACAACTTTGGGACTACTCAATACTTCATCCTTACATTCTGCTAGTTAATCTCTCGAACCACGTTGTTAGTTGTTAGCGAGGATGGTAGCCTTGAGTAGTCGAGATGAGACAGTTGAGTCTTGAGATATCACCCTTCGCCCACCTCGAGACATCATCCCTACACGGAAGGAAACGACGACGACAGCAACGGCACCAGAGAGATGTAATGTGTTTATTCTTCGACTCTTCTTCACATTTGAGTACAAGTCAACGGCTCCCTCGGTTGCAATGCTCTCCTCGTCAGCTCATCTGCTAGGGCTGGAACAGCACAACTCGTCGCCACCACGATCAATTGGATACATATAAAAAAACTCTATACATCCCTGCATCTCCCCGTCAACATCCATCATGTCTACGGCTTCTACCAGGGCAATAGCTGCACCAACTCAAGGCAACTGGGGTCGTGGTCTTGGCCTCTGCTCCGGTCAGCGGGAGCCCGAGTACGATCTCTTGCAGCCATTCGATGCTATGCCACAAGAAGTATCTGGTCCGACCGTTTGGACGAAGGAGGAGCTGGATCGAGACACAGGGCGCTGGCTCTATCACTTCACCGAAGAACAGATCAGGCACATTAGTGCTGCCGTCCACGAGATCGAAGCAGGAGGCCTTCAACTCTCTGAAGTCAATAAGTCGACTTTCAAGCTCCCTAACCCCTTTGTGGACTTTCTAGATCGGATTCGGGACCAAATGATCAATGGTATCGGCTTCTCTGTGCTTCGCGGCCTTCCCGTTGACTGCTGGTCCACTCGACAAGCCTCAATCGCATACCTCGGCATCGGTTCCTACATCGGCCGCCGCTTGAGCCAAAACCGACAGGGACACATGCTGGGTCACATCAAAGACCTTGCAGAGGGCAAAGAGGTTAATGGCGAAGGCAGAATTTATCGCACGCAGAAATCTCAGACGTACCATACGGACGAAAGCGACATCGTGGGCCTACTTTGCCTCCACCAGGCGATGGAAGGCGGAGAGTCACAGGTGGTCTCCAGTCACAACATCTACAACACGCTGAGACGAGAAAGACCAGACATGCTACGCCAGCTATGCCTGCCACAATGGTTCTACGATCGAAAGGGGGAGACCAGCGAGGGAGAGAAGGAGTGGATGCGCAAACCGGGCTATTACTTCTACAAGGGAAAGCTCAGCATGAAGTGGGACTCTTACTACGTCGGAGCCCTGCAACGCTTCTGGGCTGCTGGGCTTCTTCCACAGTACACGGATTCGCAGCGTGAGGCGATCCAGGTGATGGAAGAGATGTGCCGCCGATTATCTCTGGAGATGACGCTGCAGCAGGGTGATATCCCCCAACTTCCCTCTCGCCTAATTTTTCTTGGCATCTGCTGTTAGTGAATGAGTGAGCCTACCACCAAATTACTAACAGCCGAAAACTCTTCACCTCCCCTTGCCGGAGCCCGCATCCGCGATGGCCTCACAGCCGCCGTCGGGCACCGGACTGATGTCGGCCGACCAAGCCGACCCCGAACCAGGCTCCGGGACACCTCCGGAGCCGAACCCCACCTCAAGAGCTAAGCGACGCCGCGACGCCGAGGCACAGCCGACCCGGCCCAGCCTAACGGGAAGCCAGCTTGATGCCACCACCGACGCCCCTACCTCGGCCGAGGGGCCCGCAGCCTCTACCGCATCTGCTCCGAGCGGATCTGCCACAGGGTCCGTCTTGACAGCCCTTGCAGAAGAAGCTAGACAGTACGAGGCACGGAAAGACGTCTTTCTGACCATTGCACGGTCCGTCGACAGCGTTGTCGCCAGCTTTGACGGTTCTAGAAAGCAGATCGCGAAAGAAGCCACTGCCTATGTCATTCAAACCCTCAAGAGACTGATCAATCACGAGACAAGCCCAATAGCGGCCCGGAGTTGGGCGGCTGTCGTCGCACCGATGGCGGGCAACACCACTGCGGCGACCCGGAGCGGCCAGAGCTGCCAGAGCTCTGCCCGCCCGAAGGCCACACTCCCCGCCGAGGATCAGCCGCAGGCGCAGCCGAAGGAGGACCTCCGCATCTTTGCCCGCGTCCCGGAAGAAAGCTTAGCGGCCGCTCGGAAGATCGCACCGTTCGCCGTACGACAGATCGTCTGTAAGGCCGTTGGCCTGGGGCTAGCGGACCTTCCCCACGTCTACCATATCAGCACAGGTTACTCTCTGAAGCCGCGAAACAAGCAAATACAGGAAAGACTACTTGCAAGTAAGGCAAAGCTGGCGGAATGCCTCGGCGCCCACCAGGTCGAGACGCCTATCAAGTGGTACACTTACGTTGTGCCGCGATGCCCAACAAAACTACACAGCATTGGCGGGGACGTCCTGGACCCAGCCACACTCGTTGAAGATGAGGTCTTCGCACAGACAGGACAGAAGCCTGTCCTTGCTCGACCGTCCCGCCTTGGGCCCAACCCAGTCACGAACGAAATATCTTGGCTCATATCATTCACATCAGAGGTCACGCCCTTCAGGCTCTTCAACCAAAGCGGCAGATCTCTGCCCGTCAAGAAACGAAGGACGCTCATCCGACACGACCCCGGCTGCCAGGGCTACCACTCCAACCGGTTCTGCGGACGACGACCGATCTGCAGCAACTGCGGAAGACCTTCCGATTCACACGAAACGGGACCCTGCATGGCCAGGCCCCAATGTGCCAACTGCTGCGGCCCCTTCCAAGCCAGCCACACAGACTGCCCAGCGAGGCCCTCGGCCGTAAACGGCGTCGTCTCCCTTCCCGGTCGAAAGGAGCGGGCTCGGATCCGGAAGGCCGGCCAGAAAGCATCGGACACTCTGTACAAGGCTACTCGATCCGACAGTAGCCAGGAGGCGGCAGGCGTCCCTACCTCCACCAGCCAGAACCAGCAACCCGGCGCCAAGCGCGCGCGCACGAGAACGCCCTCCGCAAGCTCGATCGTTTGCCTCGGTGACGGAAGCACTGACAGCAGCAGCATGGATGAAGACGAGGCGGACGAAGGCGAAGGCGAAGACTCCCCCGACAACACCTCCATCGACCGTCCCGTGCTACCCATGCCAAGCAGGAGCCAACGGGCAGCACAGAAGCCAAACTACAACGTCGCGAATGCCTACACCCACCTCGAACTCGACTCGGAGACGTAAGCCGAGAGCGGCGACCCCACGGATGCTACGCGTTGCGCAGGGCAACGTCGGAAAGATCTCCCCGGCGCACACGGCTTTCCTGCAGCTCTGCTGGGAGGCTCAGATAGATGTGGTCCTCGTCCAGGAACCCTGGACGGGCTGGAAGGACGGAAACGTGCAACTGAACACGCACCCGGGTTTCGACTCTTTCGTCCCGGTCGACTTCTGGGACAGCGAAGGAACCAGACCAAGAGTATTGACCTACACACGCAAAGGGATAGGGATGACGGTGGAGCAGCAGAGGCCTGTCCACACGAGAGACGTACTGTGGCTGGTGGTCGACAAAACGACGACTATCGTCAACGTGTACAGACAACCCCGCGACCCCCACAGCCGCACAACAGGGATACTGCTAGAACTCAAACCCCCGGAGCGAGCTTTGATCGCGGGTGACTTCAACGCGCATCACTACTCTTGGGAGCCCGGGACGAGGAACGGGAACCGGGGAGATGACATCGCAGGCTGGGCAGACGGCCACAATCTCTCTCTTATCAGCGAAGTTGGGGTGGCAACCCAGGATTGCGGACATGTCCTGGACCTGGCTTTCTCTAATATCCCTTTTGCGCACGCGCAGGTCAGCCCACAGCTACACCCGGGAGCTGACCACGAGGCCATCGTGGCCGTCATACCACTACTCAAACGCCCAGTGTCACAGGGAGAGGGCCACCCGCAGCCACGGCCACTGTCAGTGCCCGACTCGGCGCTGCCTCGGCTGAGAGACCTGATCGAAGGGGGGCTAGCTGCGATGCCCAATCTGGGGGATCAACCTACTCCGGAAGACCTGGACGGGCAGGCAAGTCACATCGTCGAGCTCTTCTCCCGAGCCATTGAGGCGGTCGGCAAGAAGAGAGGAAAACATGGTAAAGGCGCGGCTTGGTGGACGGAGGAATGCGCAGAGGCCCACAGAGCATACCGTGCTGCCCGCAACCAACAAGCCTGGGAGACGGAGCAAGATGCGCACCTTTATCTAATGGAGAAACGAAAGGCGTTCCTGAGCACGGTGAGGAAGGCTAAGCGAGCATACTGGGCCGGAAAGATCGATGGAGTCGCTTCAGACCGGGACCTGTACCAGATCATGGGTTGGCGGAAGGCGAGCCTACTGACCAGAGCACCCCCATTGGTTGTGGACAACCAGACGATCGAGGATACTAACGAAAAGGCTCAAGCGCTTCGGGGAGCCCTTCTCGACAGGTTTAGTGCGGAAGATGACGCACCGGGTGACCCGTTTGACGTACCCGTCGTCCCGAGGCGAGCGATTACTTGGCAGGACAATGTTAGCGGAGAAGAAGTGAAGACGGCCACCTTAACAAAGACAACGACCCCTGGTGTGGACGGCATCACAACACGCCTCCTCCAGGCATGCTGGGATGTCATCTCGGAACCGGTCAGGCAGCTATTCCAGTCCTGTATGCGGGCCGGCCACTTTCCTCTGCCCTTCCGCAGAGCTGAGGTGGTCATGATCCAGAAGGCCGGCAGGGATGCCTCCAAGCCCGGGTCCTGGCGGCCGATCGCGCTCCTCTCGTGCCTGGGCAAGGGACTAGAGCGACTGATAGCCAGAAGGATGGCGTCCCTGGCGATTGTCGAGCGCATCATCAGTCCGCAACAGATCGGGGCTCTACAAGGCAGGTCAGCCGTCGATCTGACGACCTGCCTCACCCACGACATCGAGATGGCCCTCCTAAAAGGACTCACGGCGACACTTCTGACTATGGACGTAAAAGGGGCGTTCGACTCCGTCCTTCGGAACCGGCTCGTCATTAGACTGCGTCAGCAGGGATGGCCACATGGCCTGACCAGACTGATCTTTAGCTTCTGCTGCAACCGCACCGCTAGAGTCCGACTGGAAGAAAGCACAACGGAGTACTTCCCGCTGTCATGCGGGCTGCCTCAGGGGTCACCACTATCTCCCATTGCCTTTCTGCTCTACATCGCAGAGATACTTGAAGACGACCCGAACGCGCGATTCGGGTACGCGGACGACATCGCCACTCTGGCCATCAGCCCCTCCCTGGAGAGCAACGTCGCAATACTCAACCGAAGCGCAGCCGGCATTCTCAGATGGGGCTTGGAGAACAAGGTCTCCTTTGACCCGAGCAAGTGCGAGGTCATCCACTTTACTAGGAAGCACGGCCAGCCAGCGGAGCTGCCAGAGGTCCGGGCGGGGGATTTGGTGGTCAAGGCCTCGACGAAACCTGTACGCTGGCTGGGTGTCTGGTTCGACAAGAGACTGTCCTTCCGGCACCATGTCGACGCAAAAGTAGCTGCAGCAAAGAGGGCAGCTCAACATCTGAGACAGCTTACGAACACAAAGAGGGGACTCCCAGCGGCCGCCGTGCGAAAAGCCGTCGTCTCCTGCGTACTGCCGATCGCGCTCTTCGGCGCCGAAACATGGTACGCAGGTATCACGAAGCCGGCTTCGAGACGCCAAGCGGAGACAGACACGAATCCGCCTCTCCAAGGAAGACCCGTCAACACAGGCCAAAAGGGGCTCGTGCAGAAGATCGACAGCGTCATTACAGCGGCAGCAAGGGCCGTTCTGCCTGTCTGGAGGACAACGCCAACCAGTAGCCTCCTCCGAGACGCCGGCTTACCGTCAGCCAAAGTCGCCTTAGAGGGCGTCCGCTTACGGGCCGCAGTCCGACTACAGAGGATTGATCGCCGACACCCGCTAGTCGCGCGGCTCTCCCAGCAGGGACAGCAACAGACGAGACTACAACGGACGGCTGAACTTCTGCCAAGATGCGGAAGACCAGCGTTCCTTCAATCACAGTACCTGCCAAGCTCACAGGATCAGATAGTAGTTCAATGCAAAGAAGAGGCTGCGAAAGCTTTCGAGCGCTGGCTAAAGACAGTACCGGAAAGCCATATGATCGTCTTCTCGGACGGCTCCAGGGCGACGAACGGAGCCGTGGGGTACGGCTTCGTCATCTACCGAGACTCCAAACGCATAGCACAAGGGTGCGGCCGACTCGGACTAGCAGAAGTGTTCGACGCCGAGGTCGAAGGGGCGCGAACCGGCCTCAGAAGGGCTCTGCTCACCAATCGCGGTCATCCAATCCACATATGTATCGACAACACCAGCGTTATACAAGGCATCCGCGGCAAGGCGCCGGACTCGTCACAAGACGCGTTCCTCGAAATCCAAGAAGCGGCCAGGATATTTGATATACGGACGCACTGGTCCCCGGGACACCAGGGCATCGAAGGAAACGAGGCCGCGGACCGGCTGGCCAAAGAAGGAACGACACTGCCGGCGCGGATGGGTCAAATGGCAACACTAGCGGGCATCAAGCGGCTTGCAAGGGAAAAATTACAAAGCCAGCACAGGAGATGGTGGTATAAAGAGCGAAGGCCGCGGTACGCGGACTTGGGGCTTGAGGCAGCTCTGTCCAGCCCTCCTGAACTGGCCTTGCCGCGGGCTACGTTACATCACCTGCTGGCGGCACGATCGGGTCACGGGGACTTCGAGCAATATCACCGACGTTTCAACCACGACGACGCTCTAATGATGTGCTCTTGTGGAGAGGCGAAAGACGTGGACCACCTGGTCTACTGTCGACTAACGCTGGCGAGGAGGCAACGGTGGCCGACCCTCCACTCTCGCAGTATGCCCGAGCCCATAGGCCCTATGGGATCTCTCGAGGCCTACTTCAAGAGATTAATCACCGACCCACGAGGCTTCGAGGCCTTTCTCCGCGTGACGGACTTCTTCCAGAAGATCTGTCTGCGGTAGCAGCATCCACACCTACGTAGATGTGAGTGCGGACTACAAAGAACCTCCCGATTCCAAGGGACGATTTGGGAAAGAATGAAACTGGGGCACCAGCGGGAACCGGGGACAGACAGAACGCGTAGTGGCCACAAGGCATGATTTGGAGGACGATGTAAAGAGACGACGTACTGTAGAGTAGGTAGCCTTGGCTCACGGCCCTCCACGCCATATACCCTTCGGGAGGTCTGCGGTAAGGGCTCTAGCCCGGCCGCCACGGCGTTAAATACAACAACAACAACAACAACAACAACAACAACAGGGTGATATCCAGTTTGTCGCCAACACTCATAATCTCCATGCGCGATCTGCATACAAGGATGATAACGATGTTGCAAAGAAACGCTGGTTGCAAAGACTTTGGCTTGCTACCTCGGAAGAGGAAGGTGGATGGCCGTTACCGTTTGCTGATTCTCAATATACCAAAAGAGGAGGTGTCCAAGTTAATGAGACTCCCGAGTCGTATCCTACTGAGGCCGAGTAGGCGGTTGCTCTGCTGTTCTGCGAGTTCTACTCTCAAAAGAGTGAAGCACTACCTCCCGACGTCGAATTTTGATGTTTTTCCGAAGTCGAGATTTTGGAAGTTCGGCACCAGTAGATATAATTGTGTAACGAAAGAAAAGGTGCATTACAGAATTCTTCTCAGTCATCTCTGCGTGATATCTTCTTATCAATATTAGACGAAACCTTGTCTTTTAGTCTAATCCGGATGAGGTGATCGCGATCATTAGTCACCGCGCTTTCAACAAGGTTTGACAACCGCACTGTGTTCGGAACGCAAATTCGCGCAAACCTTTGCCTTGATCACGTCTTTGAGCAGTGCATAGCGGGGTAAATTTTTCGTGATAACACTGTCTTCACCAAGAGTCCCTGCTTATCTCGACGCGGTCCGAGAGAGGTGTGGTGTTTTGCCGCAAACTCCCGATATGCCATCTGCACTATGCCCAACTTCTCCTCGCATCAATCAAAGTCTCCGAGTGCTGACCTTGCATTCACGGGTGGGTATTACCCCGGAATATTCACCGCAGGCGCCTTGATGAGGAGCCCGTCTGAGCCAGCCACCGGCGATCCGCTCCCGAGCATGACCCCACGATGCCGCCGCTTAAATCGGGACAGCGGTCGATGACCTTCACTGGGTACGTACGGATTCTGCTCTGTTCCCCGAGTGTAGGAGAATGTCTCGGGCCACTCTGACAGGGGGTGGCTGGGCTGACTTGTGCGCGTTTCATTGTTCGACAACAGGTGCTGGACCTGCAAGAGGCGTAAAGTTAAATGCGATGAGAGGGCCTCTGGCTGTGGGAATTGTGAGAAGATGAAGATTGCTTGTGAAGGTTATGGTATCAAGCTTCAGTGGATCAACGTTTCGAATCCGTTTCTCGAGCAGGAGAAGCCTGGTAGTAGCAGTAATGGCAGAGGGAGAATACGGATTGGTAAGATCATCATCCCATTACTTACACCCTTTCTGCCCACACACGTCTTGTTATTAGTGGCTGACGCACGTTGTATGCCCTACGTAGGCCGTACTACAGGGCCAGAGTATCAGATGAAAGACATTGACTCCTTCTTGGCATTCCTCGAAGAAGCACCAACCTCAAAGGGTATCATACAAGAAGGCCCTTTTGCTCTCTTCCAGGCCCACGACAGCAGTCATGAACCCGGCCAAGTTTATGACTTGGAAAGTCCGGATGTTGCAGTCTCTGATTGCTCATTGGCCAACAGTGCTCACCACAACTCAGAATCGACAGGGTCCCAAGAGGATCCAACAGCCTCTCCAATTTACACTGACTGCGCAAGCTCAAGTCCTTCTTTCTCCACGGCACGAGAGGACGGATCTCCATATCAGGTTTGCTTCGATGTGGAGCTCGTCAGAGCCTCGCAGGATGATCAAGCCACGCCAGAGTTCCAACTCCAAGATGAATTCAGCTCTTCGCTGGGTGACATTGCGGGGCTGTTGGAGGACGCAATCGAGCTATTGCCAATACAGCCGCAAAATGATATTTCATATACGAGATTGCCCCGACGGATGTCTACCAGCATATCAGGCGACGCAGTCATCGATAGACTCATGCATCACTACGTGGAAAACATCGCGAGTTTACTTCAACCGATCCCACACCCCCAGAATCCTTATCGAAAGCTTTACGTCCCGGCAGCTCTCCAGGCAATATCGGAATGGCTACCGAAAGCCAAGATGGCCACACCGACCGTTTCTTCCGTCATTTTCCACTCCCTCATAGCATCATCTGCCTTCCATCTCGGCAACTGTGGCCCCGAGCAGACGAAATATCTCACCCTCGGGTCGCAGCATCGCCAAGTAGCGCTGCATTGTTTACAGTCCGCCATCAACCCCGCCATGGCAACATCGGAGTACAAGCTGCTCATGGTGGCCATGTTATCAATGGTGACCATTAGCAATGTAGGTTATTTTGTCAGCCCCCTGCTTGACGTAGAATGGATGCTAAGCCTTGCGAAATAGTTCACGACAGGCAGTGATGCTGACTTTGTGATCCACCTGCAAGGCACAAAACAACTACGAAAAACGCGACGCCGATGGAAAGTCATCAGTAGAGCAACCCGGCAACTGAATGAGATTAGCGACTTCCTGTACCTTCTCACTCGCACAGTCTCATTCTCCTTCACACCAGGACCGTGGCCGTCGGAGGGCGCAGAGGATGTAGACGAGCCAATCGCTTCGCAGGCGGAACCCGATAGCTGCTTTGGGTACATGTACGGCATCACGCCTGCCATCGCTGTGGATGTTGAGGAGACGTGCCGACTGGCGGAGTATCTTCTCTGGTACGAAGGCACAGAAGAGCCCATCCCAGAGGGACTACTCGAAGCCTGCGAGAGCCTCGGCGACCGACTATGCAATTGGTCTCTAGACCTCGAAGACGTCCGCCAAGCGATGAACCAGGACGCAGAAACCCTAGAAATCTTTCAACACCACGCGAATGCCTGGCATTTAGCTGCGGTGATCTACTACCACCGACGCATCCAAAAGTGCCGCAGCGAAAACCACCACCAGCTCTTAGCCGAAATCGCCGAACACATGCACGCCGTCGAGGACATCAAGACACGGTCGAAATCTACAAAGACCAACTTTATGGCCCCTATAACGTGGCCTGCCTTTGTAGCCTCGTGCGACGCCCGCAACCGCGAACCTTGGGAGCGCTGGTGGGAGAGGATCAAGTGCTACCGGGTTGCCAACAGCCGGACGCAGTGGAAGGTTGTCCAACGTTTGTGGGAAAGACGGGATGAACTAGAGCAAGCGGGCGTCGGGACATTTGATTGGATCCAGGCGTTTAAAGACTTTGGGATTGCATTGTTTCCAATCTGATCATTAGATTATGCTGGCGCAAGGTATGGGATAGAGGATCTAAGCGCTTTGATGATAATCCTTCAGACCTTTGAATTTCATACATCGAAATCAGTCTGATTCACCTCGGCAACTCGTTGGATCAAAAGGCTGACTTCACCGGTCCCATCGACTGTTCTCTCATTCCACCTTCCTCGGAGCCTAGATCTTGAGCCCGTTGAGCTACCCCAATGCAATGCAAGTCAACGGAATGCGGTGCCGCACGCAGCTAAGAGCTCATAGCTCCAGGCCGCGGGCCGAGCATCGTCCTCCCTCCCCGCATTCTCCAAGTGACATCACCATCACAACCAAGACGAACCAAGAAACAACCCAACCTTCTCCGCTCCGCCGATCCCTCAACACATTGATCCATTTGATCTAACGCAGATGCTACCCAATCCCAGAACTTCCCTCCCATCACCACGTGGGTCCGTTGTCAGTGCGGCCAACGTTCCGCTCACCTTGGTCGAATTAAGCAACGCGGGGTAAACTCCCGCCCTCGGGCGTGGATATTTGACCTTTTTGGTGGTTTTCCGGAACGGAGAGTAGCCGTCCCCCCATCCTTTCCATTGGACGTTTCAATCTGCCGAGCTTCTTCTCCGATGGGGCTCACACTCACACACACACACACACACCCCAGCCGCTGACGACGGGAACCTTTGGCAACCTGTTTGGGTCGTATGGGTTGGGTCCGAACCACGCACAGATACCCGAAGGTTTATATCCAGGCCATAGGGCGCGGGAAGAAACCATGACCGCAAGCATTCCATGTGATCTTGCTGCGGGAACCGTCAATTCACATCAACTTGATTACGCCTGAAGCTTAAGTGAATGCTGGCTTCCAACGACAGTTGCGTTCCAAGCTCTACTTTGCGACTGTCAAGACCGACGAAGGAATTGATTCAGCAACGTCACGATGGACTCCTCGTACGCTGCGCGCCACGAGAAATTTGAGATTTCAGAGCTTGAAAATGGCGAGCATGAGCCTGTCACAAAGAAAGGGGAGATTGAGCGAATCGATGCGATTGCCACGGCGCAAGGCACAACACTGGCTTCCTTTGCGCATCTGAACGAGAAGAAGATTCTGAGAAAGGTGAGGATTTCCTCCCATCCCATCGTCAGTGAATGAAGAGACTGACCTTTGGACTTTCAGATGGACGTTCGACTCATTCCGATGCTAGCTTTGCTCTACCTACTCTCATTCCTGGACCGCAAGTTCACACTCCGTCCTCCATATGAGGGTCCTGACTGATATTTCAGCTAGGTGGAAACATCGGGAACGCCAAGATTGAAGGCCTCCAGGAAGATCTGGGAATGAATGCTGATCAATACAACTGGTGCCTCACCGTATTCTTCTTCACCTACGCCGCATTCGAGGTCCCGAGCAACCTGCTGCTGAAGAAGCTCCGCCCGAGCGTGTGGCTGCCGACCATCATGGTTGCGTGGGGCGTCGTCATGACCTTGATGGGGATCGTGAAGAACTATCATGGCCTGTTGATCGCCCGGGTATTTCTTGGAGTGACGGAAGCCGGATTGTTCCCCGGTGTTGCGGTAATTCACCCTTGTTGCGCTATGTTTATCTTCTCGGTCGGTGCGGGCGACAGTATGGCTGATATACAGACCAGTACTACTTGACAATGTGGTACTGTCGCCACGAGATCCAGCTCCGCCAAGCCATGTTTTTTTCGGCGGCTTCCATCGCCGGCGCTTTCAGCGGTCTCCTCGCGTTTGCAATCTCTAAGATGGACGGCATCGGCGGGCTAGAGGGGTGGCGCTGGATTTTCATCCTCGAGGGCATCGTGACGGTCCTCGTAGCGATCATGGCGTTCTTTGCCCTGCATGACTTTCCCGAGACGGCCAAGTTCTTGACTGAAGAAGAGCGAGCCTTCATTGTCTTCCGACTAAAATATCAGGGTCAGGTTCAGGGAAAGCAGGAGAATCGCGTGCAGGTTGCCGAGGCGGAGGAGTTCAAGTGGAAATACGTTGTGGACGCGTTTACCGATTGGCAGATTTGGGTCAATATCTTTGTTTACTGGGGTGTAGGGCTCTCTCTCTCTGACCACTGTCACTTATGGACGGATACTGACACTGGCTTTCAGATCGTGTGCCCGCTCTATGGAATCAGCTTGTTCCTGCCGACTATCATCCGAAACCTGAACTACACGTCCAGCACAGCGCAGCTGATGACTGTACCGATCTACATCACGGCTGCAATCCTCGCCGTCATCGTTGCATATCTATCAGACAGAGTGGGCAAGAGAAGCCCGTTCATCATTGGCTTCTTGTGCATGATGATTGTCGGATTCTCAATGTGAGTTGCCTACCACACCCGTGTCAGAAAACCCCACAGCTGACCGACTCACTACGCAGGTGCATAGCCAGCTCGAACCCCAAAGTGGTCTATGGAGGCGTCTTCATAGCCGCTTGCGCCATCTATCCGGCCTTTCCAGGAGTCATCAGCTGGCTCTCCAACAACCTCTCCGGAAGCTATAAACGCAGCGCGGGAATGGCACTCCAAATTGGCGTGGGAAATCTTGGTGGTGTAAGACATTTCCGTCCCTGGAGACCGCGTAAGTATTGTTGAGAGCAGACGTGCTGACTTTTGACCAGGCCATGGCATCCAACTTTTACCGACAAAAGGATGGCCCGCGGTACATCCTGGGCCACGCCCTCGAGCTCGGATTCATATCGGTCGGTATCATCGCTGCGTTGATACTCATCTTCAGCTACATCAGCATTAACAAGAAGCGCGACCGGAAGATGGCTACTGGAGAAGACAGTAAGTTTACCGCGGAGGAGCTGTCAGGGCAGGGTGATCGAGCGGTCACCTTCCGTTACATGTGGTAGATTTTGTGCGGCAGAAACCTCAAAAACATAGTCGCCAACGTCATGGCGTTCAGATAAATGAGATATGAGAAATCCCCATTGAACTCTAGAATTCAAGTCTCCGAAATGATGTCGATCTCATAGCGACGGGTGACCGCATCATGCACGCTCTGAGAGGCGGCACAGCACATATCCCACCCGGCGGTTACGCCCTTACCGGCTGCTCATACGATGACCAATATACCACATCTACATGTCAGTTACAGAAGATACCTACTTACGAATGCAGCAGTATTCGTTACAAAGCTGCAAGATTGACTCGCGACATGACTGAATCCGGGGGGGCATTCGGAAGGGTCCGAGTGGGGCCGTAACGAGGGCCGGAGCTGGCCAGTACCGTATTTAGCCCGGGCGGATGATACGCCAAGGGTTCTGCGGATGGACGTCGTACATGATATGGCAGATACAATCTTGGAACGGCGGCTATTTGTGGCGGAGCATCTCTGAGAACGACAAATTTCCCAAGGCTTTCGTCATCCCAACTTACACGTTGTGCTGACTCCCAGGCACCCTCACATCTTCAACTGTAAGTCTGCAACAACGCTCTCATTACGTGTTTCCTCATCTCATCGGCTTCTCACTCAACTCCATCCTAATTGTTGTGTTTCAATTGAGTTGACGTTGGAAATACTGTCCGAACACTGCAAGGGTGAATAGACTATCATACTCTGGCAGAAAAATCATGAATTCATTGAGATGTTCTTTGGATGTCCCAAACGGAACATTTAGAGATGAGCGACCCAAGCAGTTGATCCACCGTGGCCAACGAAATAGGTTATTATGCACATGCAAGGCGATCCCGCCGATATCATAATGAGTGATCTGCACGCCAAGTGGAACGTTGATCTTACCGCTTACTTGCTCTCCGGTATTTGCTCACGCAAACTGTCCTTCTAAGCGCACTAAGGTATGATGGGCGGAACGCCGGGGTTCACAGGTGCGGGGCTACCGAATCCATCCGTGTCACTTGCCCCCCGGACACGGCAGCCCGCAGCCCCCGCGAACGCAACTTCCCCCGGTCAACTCTCAACTTTCCGAACAACGTGGCCTGCTACCGTGTCCTCCGGGTGCCCCTTCCCTTATTTTCCCAGAAAGGGCTCACATCAGGCGTCGTGGTTTCTTATCTCTCTGTCACTACGATAAATACCGGCTACCCGACGTAGACGTCTGGCTCGAGTCTCCTAAGAGCACATCTACTCCTTTTTTCTCAACCCGCTACGACAGACGCCATGGCCGCTACACTGAACGCCGTCCTCGCCAAGTATACCGCCTCCAGCGGCGACACAAACGACAAACTGCTAGGCGCCTCATTCATCGTCATTAACAAAGATGGTCGGTCAGACTTCTTCCAATCCTCAGAACTCACAATCTGACCACAACTACAGAGACCTTATACAGCAACGCGGCAGGCCGCATTGACTTTCCCAATGAGGCCCGCCCCTGGGACCTCGACACGTTCACCTACGTTGCATCACTCACCAAGGCCATCACTTCCACCGCAGTCATGCAACTCGTCGAGCAAGGCCGCCTACGTCTCGACGACGACATGCGCAAGATCGTGCCCGAGCTAGGAGACATGCAGATCCTCCGCGGCTTCGATGAGAACGAGGAGCCAATTCTGGAGGACAACACCACGCCCATCACGCTCAGGTAACTAGAACGGTCAAAGTATCCTAAACAATCAAACCGCATTGTTTACTGACGTAAACCAACACAGGATGCTTCTAACCCACACCGTCGGCCTGGGCTACGACTTGATGCCAGACCTCCTCAAATGGTCCAAATCCATCGGCCGTACCGTGACAAACCTCTCTGGCACACTCGAAGGCTTCAAAACGCCCCTGTTCTTCGTTCCAGGGGAAGGGTGGTACTACGGTACGGCCATCGACTGGGCAGGCCAAGCCCTGGAGCGGATCACGGGAGCTACCCTAGGTACCTACCTCGCCGAGCACATCTTCGGTCCGCTCGGCATGAAAGACACGGGCTTCTGGCCGGACAAGCTGCCCCACGTCGCCGAGCGTACCGCCGCATTCCAAATCCGTGGCAGCGACGGATCGTCGCTCGTTCCGGGGTCTAGTCCGCGCAACGTGAGTTCCAACGCTGTTGATAGCGGCGGTGCGGGGCTTTGGACTACGGCAAAAGACTACAGCATCTTCCTCTCTGCACTGCTGAATAACACACTCGTGAAAAAGGAGACAACAGAGGAAATGTTCCGGCCGCAACTTGACGAGCGACAGGCGAGACAATTCGAGAAGCTCACGGCTGAATGGGGCGGTTCGTTGGCCGTGGAGTTTGAGCTGGATATGGAGCTTAATCACGGGCTGATTGGTTGCATCAACATGCGTGACGTGCCGGGGAAGCGCAAGAAGGGGAGTTTGCAGTGGAGTGGCATGTGTAACAGTCATTGGTGGTTGGATCGGGAGACGGGTGTTGCTGGAGTTCTTCTGGTCCAGTCGCAGCCTCATGCTGATCCGGTGGTGACGAGGTTGTACAATGATCTGGAGAGGGCTGTTTACGGCGAGCTTCTGAAGACAGCGTAGGCTTGTATTTCCAGGTGGAAGGTCAGGACTGTATGCAGGCGTACGGGGACATAATGCCCGAAATACGTGTGATTCATGTCATGAGGCAGCCTCGTCAGGCATCTCCATAGACTCGAGTACATTCTCCAGAATCTTCCTGCACTGCCTCCTATAGCGATACGCCATGATCTGATTCCTCGTCGCCTCTGCCTCCTCCATCTCAAAGTCGGACTGATCAAGCCGTTCAAGCTCCTGCAGGACCTTGTGCTGGATAATACCGATAGTCTGGAACAGCAAAGGCTGCGTGGCCGCAGGAACCCGTCCAGTCAATATCATCCTCAGCCTCTCCAGGTCTGCCTTGCTTCCATCATTGTCACCACCACGACCCTCCTCCGGCACCGGAATCATCTCGCTCCGCTGCTCAGCCGTCGTCTGCGCCAGAACGAGCTCCCACACCATAACATCCTGCACATGCCGAAACGGAGGCAAGATGGCCTCCCCATCCACATCGCTCAGCAGCTGTCCAGATCGGGCGGCCACCGAGCTTGGGTCAGACACGGGCCTCAGGGAAATCAGGTAATCCTTGGGCTTGTTGTTCCCGGATGCTGCCCCGGCGCCGCCGTCGCCGCCCTTCTCCGCCGCAGCCTTGGCGCCACCACCGCGCTTCTGGACGTGAACGTAGTCATTGTGCAAGACCTCCGATTCGGGGATGGTGAAGCCATACGCCAGCATAAGTTCGGCGTTCGTCTTGGTGGTGCCGTAATTGTTGAAGACTTGTGCGCCAGGGGCGTACGGATCCAGCGTGCGTAGGCCGACTTTAGCCTCGTCGCTCGCAGGAGCATCATCAGACGTCTCCCACGCGATCCGGGCTGTCGGACTGTGGTTCCCCACGTCGAACAAGGGCATCAGCAGGGAGAAATCATCAATGGCGCAACCGTCCGGCAGCGAGAGGGTGTGCTGCCTGTGGGCGGGGATAACGAGGGATGGGCGGAAGCTCCGACTGGTGAAGATGCAGTAGGCCCAGTTGTAGAGGAGGCGTGTGTAGTCGTGCCTGGCGGGCCAGTCGCCAAAGGCGGCGAGGGCGTGCTTGTGTTCGGCCTTAAGGCGGGTTTTGATCTCGGCGATGGCGACGTGGGCGTTCGTGTCCTCGAGGAGCTCGACGTCGTCTGTGGGCCAGAGGGGCGGGAGGGCCCAGGCGGCGAGGTTTGTCGGCTGGGGGAGGGTTCTGATGTAGGGGTGCCAGAAGGAGGATGAACCGAGGAGGTATTGGTTAATGAGGTAGAAGCGGCTGATGACGTGGGGCGGGACGGATTCGAGGAACGAGGGAGGGAATGCTTGGGAAGAGGAGGAGGAGGAGGAGTCGTGATGGAAGACTGGGTTGGGTGTGGTGGTGGCATTGAGGTAGGAGAGGGTCAGGGCCAGGGGACAGGTGACGACGGTGTCACCCGGGTTGACGCCGGCGCTGTCGGGGGAGACGCGGAAGGAGTTCCCGGTATTGGGGTCGTTGTAGACCTCGACTGACGGATGGAGGGCGGCTCCGTGGGACTTTGCCCAGTTGACTAGCTCATCCATCGCGGCTGGCTGGGCTGGCTGTGTGTGCACGTGGAGAGGGTGGGTGAGTGGAGGTGTGACTGAGTTAGTGAATTAAGTGTGAGTGTGAATTTGAGTGAGTGTGAGTATGTGGATGAGAGTGAGGATGAGAACGAATGAGTCTGCGAGAGTGAAAGTGACAGTGACAGGGTGTGAGCTAAAATAGTCTCTTCACTTTTTTGGCGCCGGCAATGCGAGTAATTCGACGTCCGGGTCTAGACTCAAGGCACAGATCTTAGAATCGTGGGCCCTTGTTGAATGAGCTCGTTCTTCAGCAGATTGGGTTGACTGGCTGTGAGTCGTTGAATCAGTATGGTGTAGTGTGGTAGTAAGTGTGATTGACGTTCAGACTTTTTTGGGCGTTTTCTTCAGCTTCGGCGTCAGGGTCTCCCCGGTGTGTGCGGGGTTCAAAAAATCCAAGCTCGGTGAAGGTGGGGGTGTGAGGTCAGGTAAGGTGCCTTCACCGAGAACTTGGAAACTAGTCACAGTGGCGTCAATAGAGTGGAAAATCAGTGGAGAACGATGATCGGACGTTTCCCATCTAATGAGGTGGCTTCTTTGACATGGGGCCGGCGATGAAGAGATGCAGGTCCGTCCGGCCATCCCTGCGCATCGTTCGTCTGATGCTGGCGCTGGAAAGATCTTGATGGACGACATCTCGGGGTTAGTGAGGTGACTCATGACAGTGACGTCTCTATGTAGTTCGGCAGTGTGGTCGGCCGGGATAGCGGGCGGAGCTTGGAGTGTAGCCTTTTCTCGTGAGGGACTCATTCAGCTGCATGCCTCATGAGGCTGCCGAAAACGGAGCGAGCCAAGTTGGCATCGTATTAGCATGAGAGGTAGGGAATCCAGCGGCATCAAATTGTGAGCTGCTCTCGAAACCATCCGGCCAGCGGCGGTGTAAGGGGATGTGAGCCTCGCGGCACTCATACGCAAGTTGCCAAGGCCCCTCGGCTGATGGTCTTGCATCTTGCTGGAGTGAATTCGAAAAGATTTTACATCGCATCCCTAAAATGCCTCTCGCCTCGACTACAGATAATGCCATTGTTCGTGGTCGCTTATTCGTGGCCCGCCCCTTCGCGATTGATATGTCCTGCGTCCACCTGAACAGGAAGAGTCAGGTTTCCTGATACAGCTCTCATCAACAAACAGCAGAAATCTCACTTGGAACGAAACAATCGGTCGTAATCTGGCAGCTGGGTACTGCGATATCGAATAAAAGACTACCATACATGAATGAGAATAAGATATGTTCAAGAGAGGTTTGTTGAACCAAAGTGCCCATGATCAAGAGAGCTATCTCATTCATTACGTACGAAGGTGCAATGTATGTAACGCTCTAGACAAACTCTACAAATTCCAGGCTCTCATTTTCAAAGCAGTCTTTCTAGCAAACAAGCCTCAATGTCCTCCAGCCTCAATACCCTCACCATCACCATCTCCAATCGCCAAAGACGCCGCCCCCTCCATAGCAAACCCAAACACCCGCGCATACCACCCCTGAGACCAATAACTCATCTCAATATTATGCGGCGCCCCAGGAATGACGCTCCCCTCCACCCTCCGACTCCCCCTAAACGCCGCAGTATACTCCCTCACATCCTCCTCCTTCGACAACCACAGCCCATCCCTCCCCGCAAGCCCAATCAACACCGGCACCGTGATCCGCCCCGCAAACTTCTCTTCCCAGTGGGCGAGCCACTTCCCGCGCAGGTCCGCCATCTCGCGGTACGGCATCGGGCGGTCCAGGCGCGCCGTGTGCGTCAGCATCGCAGTGTCCGCCGTGCCGGGCGGGAACATGAGCGCGTCCTTTGTTGCGTGCGGGAAGTACACGTGTGACGGCGGGGGGTCATCTGCCGGCGTAAAGTCCCCCGTGCGACTGTTTTTGACCGCGTTGCCGAATCCTGAGATGGTTACCGCCCCGAGCGGGTACACGGGGGACGTTTCTTCTGACCATAGTGCTGCTGCGACGCACGCCCCTGGTGCGCCGAGAGAGTGACAGTGGAGCGCGATGGCGGTGCACCCGTTCGGCACGGCGAATTTGTCCCAGAGCGCCGGGAGGATGTTCCGGTGGAGGGTGGTGCCCCATTCTTCATAGAATGAAGAGGATGCGGGGATGTCGTCGCCGATGGGGGTGGTGTCGTTGTACCCCGGGCGGTCGAGGGCGATGAAGGGCACGCCAAGAGCGGCGCTGGTGTGGCGGGCGGTATAGGTGTCGTCGACGTCGAAGTAGGCGCCGGAGTAAGTGCCGCCGTGGAGGCCGACGATGAGGGGAGGGTATGCCGGGCGGAGCAGGTTGGATGCCGTGGATGACGGGATGCTGTGGAGCCCGGAGACGGTCTTGCCGTTCGGGAGTGTGAGTTTGAAGGCTTCCATTTTGCTGCTGGACACGTTACTCGGTACGGAAGCGACACGGAGACGGCTCACAGAAGAATACCGAAATGGACTGATGCAGGGAGACTTGGATTTATGTTATACACTGCGCTCTACGACCCTACGTCGCATCGCCTCTGTGTTAGCTTCATCATTCACGGTGAAAACTGGGGGGGTTTTAGTGCCCCTGGGCTTTCTCGGCTGTTGATGGCGGCGGCATGGTTGTCTGGTTTCGGCATTTATGATTCGATTATAAAGAAAAAGTAGTGGGCGATGGCGCCAGTAGGCCGCCCCTCGAAACCCCGTCCAAGGGCATCCGAGGTTGCAACCGCAGACTCCCGAGCCCCTCCATTCCAGATCGAGGGCTATCAAGACCACATATAAGCCAACGCACCGAACCAAAGGAAAGGTATCTGTGGTTCTGTTCGGTCTAGTTTCCCCCGCCTCGGGAATAACCCATCCATTCCACAGCTCACCCCCAAAGCTCCCCCCGAGCTCCCTTCCATCAACACAACACATCTCACGCCATCGCAACTTACCTTCTTTTTCTCGCGCCTAGTAGCAAGATACCTCGCAAAATCAGTCAGGAAACAATGTCAGACAGTCCAGCCGCATCAGCGGCACTCAAAGCCTCTCCAGAACCGACCCCCGCGACACCAACACCAGCGCAACCGCCGCCATCATCTTCAACACCAACACCCGCCGCTCCCACCGCCGTCCCCACAACATCGCAACCTCACAATGATCACCACCCCACCCCAGCAGCAGCAGCAGCAGCACCCAGTACCCCGATCCCAGCCGATGATCACGTAACCCCAGCCCCAGACCTAACACCAGACCCGATCTCCCCAGGGCCAGACGACGGCTACGCAAGCGGAACCGAATCCGGATCCTCGCGGGCGTCGACGTCGCTGGCCTCTCACGTGCGCGACTACAGCTTCGAGAACCGGCGACGGTACCACCGCTACAAGGAGGGCCAGTACCACTTCCCCAACGACGACGACGAGCAGGAGCGCGAGGACATGAAACATACCATGGTCGTGCACCTCTGCGGCGGGAAGCTGCATAGTGCGCCGTTGAAGAGTCCGCAGCGGATTATTGATGTTGGAACGGGGACGGGGATTTGGGCCATTGATAGTGCGTATCTTTTCTTTACATTCCTTTAGTCGGGAAGGGGATATCATGCGGCGAAAGTTGTAAAGGCAGGCTAATGAGAATAACTAGTGGGCGATGAGTATCCCGAGGCCGAAATCATTGGGGTGGACCTGAGTCCGATACAGCCAGAGTTCGTGCCGCCCAACGTCCGGTTCATAGTCGACGATGCCGAGGTGGAGTGGGTTTACCCAGACAACCACTTTGACCTCGTCCACCTCCGCAACATGGCGCCCTCCATCAAGAAATGGCCGGAGCTCTTCGCCGAAGCATACCGGTAAGTCCCCAGCCGTAATGTAATGCCTCAACCGAGTGACCATCCTGAAAGCACTTACCATCCCACCCAAGCAACCTTCAAACTAACACCCTGCAAACAGCGTCACAAAACCAGGCGGCTGGATCGAACTCCAAGAAATGCGCTGGGTCTACGGCTGCGACGACAACACCATGCCTTCAACCTACGCCCCCGTGAAAATGGTCGCCAACATCAAAGAAGCCCTCGCCAAGCTCAACGTCAAAATGAACGCGGCCGAGCTCTACCCCGCCCACGTCGCGGCTGCAGGTTTCGTCAATTTATCACACGAAGTGAAGAAGGTGCCTGTGGGACCCTGGGCCAAGGACGAAGACCTTAAAAAGATTGGGGAGTACTGCCGCGCGGCGATATATGATGGGTTGCATGCTATTACGATTGGGCCGTTTACGAGGGGTCTGGGGTGGACGGCGGAGGAGGTGGAGATCTTTTTGATACAGGTGAGGAAGGATTTGTTGGATCGGAGTGTACATTCGTATGTGCATTTTCATTCTCTTGCTGCGCAGAAGCCGGTTGATGGGTGAGCATGGTATAGGTTATGGAGCGAGAGAGACGGTGTCTGTTTTTGATGAGCATCTTTTGCGGAGATTTCGAATGATATCCCAAGTCGAGGCGGGAATGGACCTTAAAAGATGGCAAGGCAGGCATGAGAGAGAATGGGGAAAGCACCAGCGCTATCTTACTTACAGTTGAAGATCATCTAGCCGTGTCAAGACATAAGATGGCATTCACGTCTCGCTGGTCTCGTATAACCTAGATATAGGCAAAGGGGCAAACTTGTTCTGGCATGCTAGCTCATTTGACATGTAAGGTTTTCTCGCCATGAGCTGACCAGGGTCCAAGTCCAGGACAGCCGTCTTAAAGCTCGCGTGACTTTACTACTGCGGATCCGTGCCTTCGTTACCTAGATGTTTAGAGTGCGAATTGCAACTGGATATGGCCAGCTCAGATACGCCATCTTCGGAGTATGGAGATTCAGGTGCTCTCGGTGCAATCGGAATCGCCATTCAGAATTCTCGCTCCATTGTATCTACCGGGATTGGTCTAAAACACGCATGTGTTCTTTCATCTGGCGTATGGAGACCTAGCTCGATCAATACATGCGACTGAGTAGTGCATCCTCAAGAGGTATTGCTGATAGGCATCTCAGCTAATTTCAATGGAAACGCCAACATAGATTTTCCATAGCAAGTTAGTAGTGGGTGTTCATGCCGGCGTTGCGCATAGAAATATCCGCTCCCATCCGTACTAGCTTCCATTGCCTGGCGAAAGTGGAATCGCGCAGCTGCAGCAACGAGAGGAGCGTCCTGGTTCAGCCGGAGCTGGCCCTGACGTATCTCATCGCGAAGACCCAGTCAAAGCTCGTGCTAAAGACGCCCGAATCCTGGCTTGTAATGTACAAAGAAATGAGGACCGAGCTGTCACGCTGATGACCCCACGCCAACGAAACGCCCCTGGCATTGACATTCAAGAATAACAGCACAAGAAACCGGGCCTGAAACCAAGTTGATGGACAACATGATCTGAGGAAAGTTGGGGCCTCGGGTTGCTGTGATTGAGATGATTCGTCTTCTAGATGCGCATCAATCGTATGATCCTGAGAAAGTGAGCTCTGCACTATCTACCATACGTAGCTTGGTTCGGTACATGGTGGCGATGACGCTGCTATGGATCTAGCAGCGTCAGGCAAGTGTGAAGACATCTCTTCTGCCGTGACTTTGAGCAAGAAAAACGTCACCAAAGAGCTGCCGAAAAGATTGCAAATGTTAGAAGATCCTCACAACTTCCCTAAGAAACCCGTGCCATAGCAAATCGGTTGGTCGACGGAATGGAGAATCGTTGCGAAAGTTGCCCTGTGCAGAGCTGGCATGCGGGTGGCAGGATCCCGGGGCACTTGAAGAACCATCTTCATGGTGTCGTGCTATGCTTTCCGAGTGCAAATGGGTCTTCGATATCCAAGATTTATGAGAGAGTCCGCCGGCGATAATAGAATAACTTGATCGATGATTTGTGAGTCTAGCTGGATATGAGGCTCTCTGCTGTCAGTGATTTGATTTCAGCGAGGGACTCCTGCGGAACCTCTCAACGACCTGCAGGATCCCCCGCCCGCAACCGTGGCCCTTGTCCCCGTTACACTACCTGGGGACCCAAAACTAGCCGCTTCCGCACTTTGATGGGGCGCCGAGAATAGCGTCGCGAGCCGTGGCCCCTTCGGCACGAGCAAGCTAATGATTGGGGTGCAGGTCGAGCTCGAGGTAAGCTAGCCCTCGCATCATTCTCCACCTCGGTGTGCTGGAATTCATCGACCATTCTTGTAACATCTGGCATTTTCGGAGAAACGACTAGGGCTTCAGAAGAGCACTGTATCTTGGTTACGGAGGCGAAGACAGTAGAACGCAATGAACTAGCCAGCCAGAGGAGCAGGCCATATTGACCACCGGCTGAAGATCACATTGTCTTGCTCGATGACGCTGTTCCTCGAAGAGGGGGAATTCCGGTATCGGACGCCTAGGAGATAGTGGTGATGCCCGCCTGCTTCTCGTCGAGGTTGGAATGGCAGAGGGAAGAGGGTGTGCTCGTTCGAAATGGCTGCCGGCAGCCACATGTAGGCCTCATGTAAGATGAAAAATCTGTCGGATGCGCGTGGCCATATTTACCATTCCCACGTCGCTCAGGACTCAAGGCATTCTCACAGCTTGATGTTGGCGGGTGTGGTGGTCCAGTAGGGATGGGTTCCTACTTACAGTACGATGGTGGTGTCCCCCACGGTTGATGGGGTCGAACACCCGTGGTTTGAAGATGGCTGTCTGCTCACCGACTGTCAGTAGAAGAAGCAGCACATTGATGGCGCCGGTGTTTCCGAGGGTGTATGAGATGAAATGCGGTGTGGTGGTGCTACTTGTGGGAGGCACCGACATGTCCCGCCGTGCTGGCTCGTGTCTCTGCGGACAGTTGGTGTGCTGTGGATTTGTTGCCTCACGCGACGTTTGTTTGCACTGATTTTCAGATGCAAGAAACACCTTGGTAGTAACACGCACCTCTTGCGTTTGGAGTAAAGTGGCGGGGCACTCAAGAGGTATTCATCAAGATCAGATCAGGTCTGGCAGTGCCTTGGGGAAGCAGTTCCCTCAACCTGAAAGTTAAGGTAGCAGTGAGTGGGGTGATGGTACAGTGGCGTATTGAAAGTACGTACTTCTACATGTAAGCCAAGAGCGGTTTGAGGTATCACGAAGTTCCAGGCGGTATCCGTATCCTGACTTGGAACGGTTTGGGGGGATATTGGATGGTACAGATGCAGTGTTGAAGTAAGCAGCAGAATTGACCATATTGGTTCAATAGTTCAGGTACAGGAGCAAAGCTGTAGTTTGACCAAGTCTGCACGCTGGTTTCTGGTTTCTGGTTACATGCTTAGGTGCCGTACTGCAAGGTAATGCTACGTGCTGCAGTACTCGGAGGTGAGAGAGGTCGTGTAACTGTGGCTTCCAACGACGAGTGCCTCACCAGACGGCACGACCCCAAGAGGAGAAATACGGCACAAATAAAGGGACAAGAAGGCGGGGATGTCAAGCCCAGCAAGTCCGGTTATGCCAAATGCCCCATATGGCACACCTTGGACAACATTACCTACCTTATCCCCAAGGAATCCACGAGAGTGGATGTTTCTCCCCCACAGCCGTGGCTCTTACCCCCATGCCGACGTGCTTGCTCCCACGCGGGGTGTCGCCCCTGTCTTGACCTGCCATGCGTCACCTGTGAGTTGAGATTTTGAAATGGTGTCTTTCAATTCCGTCTCCGGGCCTGCTTGAGGAAGAAGTCGAGCACAGTACCTACCCAATACTTAGAATACCTTACGGTACGTATCGAATCTGGCCTGATGTTGCGTGACCTCACGGTGACCGTTCGCGGCCGGCCCCACTTGGCCGCTAACCGTCCGAACGTACCGGTTGGGGAAGAGCCTCCCCATGCCTCATTCCTGGGCACTGCTCATGCAAGATTCCCCCTTCTCCTTACTCCCCTTGGTGCTCTGGGCTGCCACTTGCCTTGCATTGCCCGGTACCGACCTATACCAGATATCACCTTCCCTTGCTTGTTACATGGCACCCCGCGTGCGATACCTACCTCGATACCGCATGTTAAACATGTGCATGCGGCAAGGTACGGTCGGTACGGTCGGTACGGCCCAAGACATGATCACTCCAATGCGAGGTGCAGGTTGAGAGCAGGTGAGGTGACCTCCAGCCGCTCCTTCGCAGTTAATGTCTTCTCCTTCCCGAAGGCGCAGATACGGCAGGAATCGTCCCACGGTGGCTTGCCTACCCCGGTCAACCTCTTTGGTTACCTTCCATTGCCCGACCTCCTGCCTTCCTGATCTCAACTCATCGTGCCTTCCCGTGTTGCTTTTCGATGTAGTTGTTTCCTGGATAGGTAGTCTGGCAGCTGCTTTCCAATTGATCCTTCCCATTCATGTCCAAACCCTCCTGTACTTCGTCTGCCCTCCTTCCCACAAGCCTGCTTGCCACGCCTGCCTGCCACGCTTGCCATGCCTTGCTCTTGAACGTGTCTGTCCACGTTACCTTCTTTGCTGCCAGACCTAAACCTGCCTCACAACAAAACCCTTCCATCCCCTCGTCTCGAATTTTTCTCTCTCTTCTTCACCATTCCACCCCGTCAACAATCCATCCCTCAAATCAACGCTCTGTGAGGTAGACAATTGTGCTCAAAATACATCGGCTTCTGCCCTCAAATAAGCATCAAATCCATTGACGATCCTACCCCGGCCTCACCTTGATCGACTCCTCGTCCAAAAGCTCAATCCCGCCAAACATCCCCATCATGGTGAACCCCAAGCAGCCGGGTCGCCAGTTCTCACTGGGAGCTTCGGCTCACCGCAGGAGACAGATGAGCAACATGCATGAGCAAGGCAATCATTTTGGTCCAGCCTTGACTGTGAGTTGACCCCTCCTACCTGTTCATGATGTCGCCCTTCCCCGCATGTCTCACTTTCATGGTCTGATGCAGCCATTCACGCATTGCATGAGACAAGGAACCGAAGCTTCCGCTTGTTCAATTCCTATCAGCCTTGATTGTTTTTCTGTCCCTTCACTTTGTTGCTGTGTCACTTTTGTTTCTTGCCGTACAGCTTCTGAACAAAACTGCTCTGACTAACGAGGCTGCTACAGACACTCTATTGCGGTATCTCTGCCGTCTTTGCCGACTCCCACACTGCCGTGGTTGCCCTTGCGATCCATGACACTGTCTACCTGTTGGACTTTACTGTCAAGCATATCAACCTCGACGATAGCTCCCAGACAGGTAACGATGCCATTGCCGACTATGTCATCAATACCCTTGAGGACTACGAGCATGCCAACTTTTCCAAGTTCATTGGTGCTGGTCTTCCCATGACCCTTAAGTACATGAGCCAGACTCTGTGCTCCCGCCTCTGGCTCGAGCTCGACATCGTCCCGGTTGTCTTGCGCCCTGACGATGAGCACAAGGAGAAGAGTTTCTGGGATATCAAGCGTGTTGATGAGCAGGCCGACTCCATGGCCCGCAAGTGCATCATGTAAGAAGTACTCCTCTCGCACTGACATGTGCTATAAGACTGACGAAAAGTGCAGGAACTTTGGTCCTTCCCTTGTTCCCCTTCTCCAGGTTGGCTGGAGAGGCGTCGTCCAGACTGACGCAGGCTTCCGTGTGCAGCTCAATACGATCCAGAACCACAAGGACACCTGCGGGGCTCCTACTTGGGATGCCACCATGTTCTTTGCCAAGCAGCTTCGTGAGAACAAGACCAAGATTGCCTTCTTCAGCAGCACCCCTCAAGGTGGTGGAGTCGCCCTGATGCGACACGCTCTGGTCAGGTTTGCTCGAACTATTGGCGTCGACCTGACTTGGTATGGTATGTTGCTTTCCGCATTGGATCGAGACCACGTTGCTGTTGGAGAATCGTATGGATCTGACATCATAGTTAGTGCCCAAGCCAAGGCCCGGCGTCTTCAGGGTGACCAAGAATATCCACAACATCCTCCAGGGCGTCAGCCACCCCGATCAGCGCATTTCTGCTGAGGAGAAGCAGTCCATTATTGACTGGATCACGGACAATGCCAACCGTTATTGGCTTTCCGAGGGAGGTCCCCTGCGACCCCCCGAAGAGGGCGGTGCCGACGTTGTCATGGTGAGCTTTCCCCAAACCCAGTGTCCCCCGCTCGACCCAGCTAGTGTAGCTGCTATCCCCAAGTTTTGCTACCCCTCCCCCCACTTACACAGCTACCCCTCCACGGATACATCCAATGTAGAATCATCTCCACAGGAGCTCTCTCGTCGGGTTCGCCCCACCCCTCTACTCCTTGACAGGACACTACTTGCATCACATCCCAGCTACGATCATGGACGGCTGCTAACTCTGTGTGCTCCATTCAGATCGATGACCCACAAATGCCTGGTTTGATTCCTCTGATCAAGAAGATTACACCGGATCGTCCTGTCCTCTACAGATCTCACATCCAGATTCGCAGCGACTTGACTGCAAAGGCTGGTTCCCCTCAAGAAGACATCTGGAACTTCTTGTGGAGCAACATTCAGCATGCGGACATGTTCATTAGCCATCCCATTCCCATCTTCGTCCCGCACACGGTGCCTCGGGAGAAGGTGGTCTACCTCCCTGCCACCACTGATTGGCTCGATGGTCTGAACAAGCCTCTCAACAAGTGGGACACTGGCTACTATGGCCACATCTACAACACTGCCTGTCGTAACCAGGGAATGACTGAGCTCGAGTGGCCTGCTCGCAAGTACATCATCCAGGTGGCTCGCTTCGACCCTTCCAAGGGCATCCCCACCGTGATCGACTCGTATGCCGAATTCCGGCGGTTATTGGAGGAGAAGGGCGAGACGGACGTCCCTCAGCTCATTGTCTGTGGCAATGGCTCAGTTGATGATCCTGATGCGAGCATGATCTACGATCAGACTATGAATCAGCTCGAGAAACATTATCCGCATCTTGTCAAGGACTGCAGCATCATGCGCCTCGAGCCCAATGACCAGCTCCTCAACACGGTCATCGCCAACGCGCACGTTGTCCTTCAACTCTCCACCCGCGAGGGTTTCGAGGTCAAGGTTTCGGAGGCGCTGCATGCTGGTCGCCCAGTCATTGCAACTCTTGCTGGTGGTATTCCGCTCCAGGTCAAGGACAATGTCAACGGCTTCTTGGTCAAGCCCGGTGACTACAAGACCGTTGCAAGTCACCTGTTGAATCTCTTCACCGACGCTGACCTGCACAAGAAGATGAGCCATGCCGCCGCTACTGGTGTGAGCGATGAGGTCGGCACTGTCGGCAACGCATTGGGCTGGTTCTACCTTGCCGCCAAGTGGGCCGAAGTCGGTGTCAAGCCTGGTCTGCGCGGTGATGAGCGTTGGGTCAATGACATGGCCCGCGAAGAGGCCGACAAGCCGTACAGCGACGGCGAGAACCGTCTACCTCGTCACTTTACCGAGAAGAAGGACGTTCCTGTCGTCTCTGGGAAGACAAACGGCCAGAATGGCGATGGGAGTCATTGAGGGTCTGTGGCTGCATTTCTGCGATTGAAAGAACGATGAGGTTGTGACATGTTGCGGCTAGGACTTGGGTCACTGAGAAGTGATGGTCTCGTGGAAAGGAAAAAAAAAGGGCGGTTCTCGGGGTCTTTCATAGACTGAGATGTATGGTTGCTAGATGACTTTCTTCGTCAGTAAGGTACTCGAATTGACATCCCCACTTTATTGTTTTAAGCTGCAGATGTTATCTTTGACTGATGGTAAGAGATGATCAGAGAGATGGTATGAAGATGCGAGGAAATGTTTCGACGACGACGATTATGCTGGGGTGATCCCAGATGACACCAGGTGACAGGTTTAGCTGCCGGACGCCGACTGCGCCGCGCAAGCCCGCAAGCCCCGGTCGGAATTCCGATTGTTACATCTCCAGTCTCACCGCGAATCACTTGAATCAGTCAGTTGTCGCGGCCAGCCGCGCGTACCAGCACACCGGCGTACTTTTACCAGGGCCTTTTGTACGGCTGATCCTTCCGATTGATAAGCCAAGCCACAGCCATAAGCTGCCACCTCCCGTGTTGTGCCTTTTTTCCTCTCCGTTTTGTTTTACCTCGACGGAACATGGCTCGACAGTGTTTCTAGATTTTGGAGTCTTTTTTTACTTTTAATCCGCAACTGTCTGTCCCAAGGTGAACATTATGGTTCACCTCGTCTCGGCCGCCGCCGTCTTGGCGCTATCTGGCCTAAGTTTATCTCCGGCAACGGCCCTCGTCTCGGCCGAGCCAGTTTCGGCGCCGCGATCACCTCACCATCAGCCACACCAACTACCTCCGTCGTCGTCGTCTTTGGACTTCGCACCGAGCGCGGACCAGGCACGGGAGAATGCGGTGCATATTTTCAATGCTTTGCACTCTGCCATGCGACAATGGGGTTCCTCGTTCCATCATAACGGTCTGGGTCTCATTCCGGCTACGGTGCCCAAGGGTACGTTGATGTATCACGGTACGAGGGCGAATACTACCCCCGACAGCTTCGAGTGGCTTGCGTTTGAGATGGAGCACTCGGAGGGGTTTGCGAGAAGTTCTCGCGGTGGAAGGGGTTCGCCGCCTCCGAGGCCGCCTGGGAAGGGAAAGGGTCCCGGGGGTCCGCCTGGTAATGGTGGAGGGGGTGGACCGCCGAAGGGACCGCATGATTCGGAACCTATCCTCATGATGGGAGAGGAGGAATATCAACGACCTATTAGGGCAGATGATGACGACGACGACGATGACAATGACAGAAGGAAGCCTCCTCCGAGGGGACCCGGTGGACCTGGCGGCGGCGACGGGAAGCCTGTGCGGGGATACTTCCACACCTACCGCGCGAAGCGGGATCTGAAGCTGCTGTACCTCGACGGCATGGCGGCCGGCAAGACGGGGATGGGCACGCTCGACACGCAGGATTTCCTGCTGCGCGGACTCGAGGAAGCGCCTGGGTTCGGGGAGTGGGATCGCGCCGCGGAAGTGTGCGAGGTTGTGAAGGCATGGGGGCTAGACGGGGTGATTCGGATGGAGATCGGGTTCGAGGCGATTTACTGCGATTTCCACGACGGTTTGGCGCTCGAGAGCGTGCTGAGACGGCCGTGGAGCGATGTTCCTGAGGCGGGGAGCGGGATCGACATGTTTGAGTGGGCGAGGGCTGTTGGGCAGCGGTATGATGGGATTGGAGGGGGACGGGTGAGGCTTGGGTTTGGGGGAATGGTGAGCGGGCTGTGGTATCCTTTGAATGTGAGTAATCCGAATGGGCAGGTTGATATGCCGCGCCTGGGACGGTTGACGGAGGCGGAGAGGGGGGTTATGCTTGGTCGGGTTGGGGAGATTGTAAAGGGGGCCGGGTGGGATGATGGGAGGGTTGATTGGCAGGGTGTTGTTGATATGATTGTTACCAGGCATGGCGATCGGATTGAGACTTTGGCTGATGAGGGGGCTGTTGAAGGAGATGAGGGGTTTGTGGCGCAGGTTTTGACTGTTACGAATACGTTTGTGGATTATCCGCGGGATGCGGATGATTTTGCCGTTAATGTGAAGGAGGAAGAGGAGGAGGATGGGTACGTGAGGGAGGCGAGGGAGCGTTGCGTAAAGCACTTTTTGATGCCGGCGACGGTGTGGAAGGCCGAGTGGACGCCCGAGGACGGAATGATGTACGTTGCCGTCGAGACTGTCGTCCAGAGACTCTGTGGGGATCTGTTCGATGTCCGGGGCCTCGTTCTGCGGGCGATGCCGGCGTTGACGAGCGCGTTTTCCGAGGCAGAGGTCCGGCGCGTCGTTGACGAGAGCGACGGGGATGATGACAAGAAGCTCGAGGGTGCGGTGACAAAGGGCCGGAAGGTGATTCAGTCGCTCAAGGAGGATCTCGGGTGGAGCACGTGGAAGAAGTGTAGGCCTGGGTGCGGCGTCGGGGAGATTTGCTTCATTGCCATGTGGCCTTTTGGGCTGAAGGAGGATCACTTCCATCCGAGCTGTCAGAACCGGAGTTCGTTGGCTAGGCGGGGTGGACGAGGGGCTGAGAAGGGGTATTGGGAGTGGGAGCCTAGGCCATGAGAGTGTTGATGAGGGTGGTGATGATTATGATGATGGTTGGAGGGGTAGATTGTCGTGGTATTTGTTTTGTTTTGGATCGAGCCTGGTGATGTTTCCTAGATTCTAGATTGCTTCTATATCGAGATCCTGATACGAGCTGGCTTTACACATTTTGCTGAGTGAACATGCCGCCGGTATGGTGTGTTCAACTCCACGCGAGAGGATCCTTCAGTCCCTTTCACCTCGTTCCCGTCACTGAGCGACCTGGGAAAGAGGCCAAGGAGTCCATTGGGGAAGATCCGAATGTAGATTTTAGTCCCCTCGACCACCGGATCTGACGCTTGGTTTCTTGTTCGACCCATGTGGAAGACCGATGTTTCCCCTCTTGCTCGTTCCCACAAAGGCGTATGTGGCTGGATTGGAGAGACAGATAATACCACGACTTGACCGGATTGAGCCTGCATGGATATATATATTGCATGATGGGGGCAGGGCATCCTTTGCTCATTTTGACAAATGCTCAGTGTCATTTGCAAGATTCATGATTCAATCCGAACCAGGAAAGGGGTTTTTCTTCGTTTTCATCTTGGTCCCCCAACCTCTCAGCGATGAAGAGTGAAGCTTGAGAAAAGCAGGAAAATGTGACATCATCCGAGGAACGAAACTCCTGAAGGTCTGCGGCTCTACTCGTCAACAGCTGTATTCAAGATGTCAGCGTCCACCATGGACATGTGACTTTCAGAATTGACACTCACAGAGGAAGCAGGTCCTCGAAGTGAGTCATCTTTTGTCTTCACGAGACTCTCGCGATGCATAGGGTAGCAACTATAGGACAGCGCCATGATATTCGCCTAATCGTATCCACATGTCGGCGATTCTATTCCACCGAGGCCTCTTGTGCGCTTGATAGAAAGGGCGATAAACGACGACATTCTGACGGTAACAGGAAACCTCAAAAGAGGAGGGTCGATTGCCATTTCTTACACTCTGCTAAACTTTCATCCTGGTTCAACGTGAGTGTTAGTTGCAAAAGCCTAACAGTCTTTCATCTCACGACGTTGGTGGGCTTTCGGCTGCATTCTACTTCCGCACATAAAGTTCCGAACAACAGCATCTTCACCGAGGAGATGCAACATCCTCAAAGGCTCTTTCAAAATTCCAAATTCTGTGGATATCCATCCACAGATCCAAAGATCCAAATCTAGACCCATTTACATCCGGTTGACGTTGACGCTGTGGTGCCGATCGTGCGTCGTCGCGTTGGTCAGACGTCAAGAAAATCGGCCCACAAAGCTCGCACCTCGGACATTTCGCAATAGCGAGATCTGCGAGGTCACGACTCAGCGCGCACTCGCCACACTTTGCAAGAGCGGCGCGTTACCGTGGAATCATGCCAAGATTGGGGGTTACGATGGTTTACACACACTCTCACCTGAAATGCATCTCACATTACTCCGTATAGCCCGAGGTATGTGGAAGCGAACTGGGTGCTGGTCTTTCAAGGTGCGTTGTAATAATCAATTCTTATTCTACCTGCACATCGACTTCAATCGAGACTCTGTGAAATGCTCTCATGATTGAAGGAAGTGTGATTGGTTGGTCCCACGGAAGCATTTTCCATGCTTCTAAAACTTCTGGCACGCAACGGTTCGTGGTCATGCTTTACGGAGTACAGCAACCAAATCAGGGCTGTCATGATGGCTACGACCCGCGATCTACCGCCATCTTCCCTGACACGCATCAAGCCCTATGCGACCCGGTCCGCGGAGAAGGTTTTCCCCAGGTCCCAGGTCATGGGCCTTCCGCTAGCCCTCTCCCCCCTGTGGAATCATGAATGGGGAATCGTGGAACCACGAATTCTGATCCTTTGACGTTGATCTCGCTGCTGCGGTTCCGCGCCTGGGCGACTCCTGTTTCTTCCAAGTGTCCCGGGAAATCCCTCGAGGTATTATGTCAACTTCTCAGTGTTACCGTGTCAGCTGGTCTGATGTGGCGTCGGGATGCGGCAGACGCAGCGGGATTATTCTTAGCGTTGTAACCCGTAGCCGTGTTGGGGATAGACGCCGTTGGATTCGTCGGTCGTGGGATTAACGTCGGTTTCGAGGCATTGGACGAAAAGGGATTGAGGCTACAATGCCAACAAGGCACGAAAAAGACAACTCACAGATTTGTCATTGGTCGAAGGCTGCCGGGATGGAGGCTATCCGAAAGAGCTTCCATCCCGTCGGCACGGGCAGAGTTGGAACTTGGAACCCTCGCGGTGATCACTTCAGCCCCCCGTCCTGCTTGTCAAAAATTTCATTTGCTTCCGAGCCGAGTCAGCAAGGAATACCTACGCAGTAGGTACTCTGCTCCTCTCTCGCCAAACGTAGACCACCTCCGGACGACATTCCGCGAAACTAGTAGGACGGTAAATTGCGATCAAAAGTGACGCAATTAGCTGGACGACCAGAAGCTACAAGCCACTCAAAACGGGAGTGGCGGTGCGACACTGTGTCTCTCGTCGCTAACATACATGTTTCTCGCTTGTTGATGTGAGGCGTCGGCCACTCGGTACACCTCACCCTCCATGTTCCACTGTCCCTTTCCTCGCAATCTGTCAAATTCATTTTCAGGCACGGAATCAATAGCTGAGGACGCCACTGGACTTGTATGGAGGAATTGAATGAGGAACAGAAACTTGTGTCTGACTTCCATGTGCCCTGCTCCAACACAGGCCCCGGCTGTCTCTCGCCTGCAGAATTAGGCTTTGGCAGACGAGGGAGGCTTCAGAGGCGTGGGAGGGTAGCGTTGCTAATTAGAAGAATTTAGTGCCAGGAACCAACACGCCACCAAAGAGCTTTAATACTCCTCTAGACTCGGACGCTTGGCCGCCGCGCTTGCGACACTTTGTCAGAAAAGAGGTTTCTGCACCTCTCAGACTCTAGGGACGAGTTTCCCGATCCATCTCGCAGCTTGCATACTGCCTGCCACCGGCTGTTACCGGCAGGGCAGAGAGGTCAGTGCCATTACGCAGTGACGACTGAAACGTGAATGAGGCCTTGATTTGGAGCAACGCTCACCTGGGAGTATCGCAGACGCATCGCAGATTCATCCATAGTGTATTTGACCATCAACGATTATTAACATTTCAACGACTCAGTGTCGCTGCGACGAACAGAGAGTGACGCAACTGCAAAACCAATGCCAAAGCCATGACCAAAGTCTAGGCCCATTCACCGCGTAGCATTTGCGACCCTGTGACCCAGTCGGCAGCCCTGACGAGCCACGCGAAAGCGGCCGAGCCGCTGACGATTCCGGCGTGGTCCTCTGGTCAGGGGTGACCCCCGGCCGCCTAGGAAATGGATCCCGTTGCCGATGTTGTGGCCCATTGAACGGGCGCGCGCCGCGGAGATGCAAGATCCAACGACGTGTGGAACTCCGACCCGATGTCAGGCCACCGGCAAGAGGGATGTTACGGGACACCCGGTTTTTCTGTGGAGGCCAGCGGCCATGAGCGGTCCGCACCCATCGTCGACCATTGAGAAGCCTGATATTTGTCAATCGTAACTTTCGTGCCGTGGAAATGCTGTACCTTTGTCGTAGAAAATAAATACTGCCCGAGTCTCCCGCTTCTGAAACGGAAAAGAGAAGCAGTATCACTATCCAGACTTCAGACTTTCGTCACACAGACCAAAAGAAACACCAGACTTCAGACTGCTGAGCACTAGCTGCAGCACATCGTCATCGTCATCGTCACTCTCAACATCACCTCCTGCTCAACAGCCCTCGGTAGATGTTCTCTCTTTTCAAGACCACTCGTCTTTTGCCAACCTTGGCTCGTCCAACAAACAACAACCTTGCCCGAGCCTTCTCCATCTCATCCTCCAGAATGAGCCTCACACAAGACCAGATCAACATCGTCAAGTCGACAGCGCCCGTGCTCAAGGTGCACGGCGAAACCATCACGACTCTCTTCTACAAGGAGATGATCGACACCCACCCCGAACTCAAAAACATCTTCAGTCTCCGCAACCAGGCATCGGGGGAGCAACCCCGGGCACTCGCCCAGTCTGTCCTCGCCTACGCCACATATATCGACGACTTGCCCAGACTCAAAGCTGCCGTTGAGCGCATCGCTCACAAGCATGCGTCGCTGTACATTCGCCCTGAGCACTACGACATCGTCGGCACTCACCTCATGAAGGCAATCGGAGACGTCTTGGGTGACGCACTCACACCCGAGATTGCCGAGGCCTGGACACAGGCCTACGGACAGCTTGCGCAGGTTTTCATCGGCCGTGAGAAGGAGATGTACCAGGAAGCCGGTATCTGGACGAACTGGCGCAAGTTCAAGATCATCCGCCGCATCGACGAGTCCGACTCCGTTACCAGCTTCTACCTCTCACCCTCAGACGGCAAGCTACCCCTGCCCAAGTATCTCCCGGGCCAGTACATCTCTGTGCAAGTCCCGGTGCCACAACTCGGTGGCATCACCCAGCCCAGACAGTACAGTCTGAGCGACGCCGCAACACAGGGCGAGTACTACCGCATCAGCGTCAAGCGTGAGGCGACTGTGGTGGACGCGCCCGAAGAGGACTTGAAGAAGGGTCTGGTTCCCGGCCTCATTTCGAACCTTTTGCACGACGGGTACCAGGTTGGTGACGAGATTGATGTGTCGCACCCGCAAGGAGACTTCTTCCTGGACGCAAAAGAGGCCGAAAAGGCGGATGTGCCGTTGGTGCTTCTCTCGGCAGGTGTCGGCGCGACACCGCTCATGTCGATCCTCAACACGGTGCTGAGCCCGGAGTCCAAGACGCCGAACCGGCCGATCAAGTGGGTGCACGCGGCACGCAACAGCAGCAACTTGGTATTTGCCAAGCACATCCGGAACCTGACGCGGGAGCGAGACAATGTCAGCGCGCATATCTTCCTCAATGAGGTCAAGGCAGGGGACGAGAAAGGGCAGGAGTACGATTACGAGCAGCACCTCGACCTGAAGCAATTGCCAGAAGAGGAGCTCGGCCTCGCCGACAAGAGAACTGAGTATTATGTCTGCGGGCCGAGGGATTGGATGCTCAAGGCGAGACTTGTGTTGGAAGGTTTGGGCGTCGAGAGGGAGAGAGTGAAGCTGGAGCTATTCGCAACCGGTGACGTCGAGCAATAGTCAGTCAGACAGCAATGATTTGAGTATCAGGTTAGACAGGGCTGAGAGAGAGGGAGAAAAGAAAGAAAGAAAGGAAAAGATCCGGCTGGGATCTTGCGAAGGGATGATTTGGCGGGGCGACAGGTTTTGGTATCATATTAGAAGAGGTTCTTTTCCTCGCGCGCCTTGCTTCAACTGTAATTGTATGGATAGAAAGATACCTCTCTGAAATTTTCAACATTTTGTCATTGTGAACAACAAAATTGTGTCGAGGAATCGTTACTTTTTTGCCTTGTGTCCTTTTTTTCGTGACTTAGCCCTCCCTCGGCCGTGCGAGTCCAAGTTTTTCTTTTTCCCAGCTGCGCTGTTTCGAGGCGATGGATTCTGCGAAAATTTTCTGACGTGTAGAAGTTTTCACGATCTTGCGCAAAGGCTGAAAATGAGGCTTCTAGACACCAAGTCGAATCTTGGGTTGTAGCAAGTTGATGAGGTGTAGAGGATGAAGTCTATATTGGCATCGAGGAACGAGCGTTGTTGATACCACGCCTTCTATCGACTAGGCGGCACTGACTGGAGTCGGGACGGTCCGCTGGTGAACCAGAGTTTAAGATTCTGAACTTGTGCGTTGCGATGTAGCAGCCAAGCAACTTGTTCGTGCCATTGCTATAATGCGTCAATTAAGCAGCCCGCCGTTGAGATGAAGCTTCCGTCCATGGTTCATCGGTTGAGGCGGAAGGGTGTGCGGACGAGGCCCGCGGAGTCCACAAAGAGAGGACCGGACGAGACCAGGAAAAATGGGTTGGGTGACACAGAGAAAGGTCGTATTCCCGGTAGACTTTGCTTTTTCTCAGCACAGAAAAGTGACGAGTAACATGGGTTTGGCGCCCAAGTTGTGCATCGTGACGACGGCTGCCAGGACCAGGCGTCGAGACACGGCTTACAGGCGGGTTGGCTCCCCGAGCGGGAGCTTGCGCGGGAGCGGGTGCGATCCGGGAGGGCAGCTAATGGTATTGGGACCAGCAGGGAGGCGGAATCATGGCTTTGGGTCAGTCGATCTGCGATGCAGCGACCCAACGATCCAGCGGCCACCCATGGAGCATCGGATTGGCATGGATTAGTAGTCTCGAGGCCAGTTGCATATACCCCGTTCATCAGGGTCCGCCTTGATGGGACTTGGGATCCAATATGATATGCGATGAACGTCAGCGCAAGGGTGGGAGGGGTGTAGAAGAAGACATACTTACCAACGGATACAAGTAGTAGTAGGTTGACAAAGGCTCGACGGTATACCTGAAGGGAGCGGGAGCCGAGGCGGCTGGCGAGTGATCCGGATCAAGGGTCATGCTAGTTTGGTAGAATTTGTCTCCAATGTCTGAGTGTTGGAGAATCTAAGACGAAGCAGATCGAGCTGATGGACGAGATGGGCGAAGTGGGCGAGATTCGGATGATGGATGTGAGGTCAGAGGAAACAATTTGCGACCAATAGAAGGAGAGGCGTCGAGACTCGAGAGGATTAGGTATCCGTACCTTGCCGCACCTCACCTTGCTGCACCGCAGTGGGTGACTAACACCTTCGAGACCTCACTGGATCGGCCCAGGGGTTCACTTCGGCCGTGATTGGTGAGACCACGTGCCCGGGGAGTCGGGGCTCCGGTGCCGAACGCTAAGAATAAAACAGGCAAGAACAGTGGTCCAGGTACGGCCACCTT